AACCCATTTTGGTGTCAATAGAAAAGTTGTAGAGAATCAAAAATTAGGCTTATAGCCAAATTTCCAAAAAGATACACTTAGTAGTTTCGCTTAAAATGCAAGTTTTGTGAAAATTCGTAAATTTCGCATTTCTTGAAAACGAGTTTTTGAATCGTTTTGGAAATTCGGCTATAAGCCTAATTTTTGATTCTCTACAACTTTTCCATTGACACGAAAATGGGTTTCTTTTGAAGAAAGTGCTCAAACTGTCACATATGACAATTTCCAGTATGACACTGTCACATATTCCAATACGGTTCCTATTTTGATCCAATACGGTTCAGTTTTCAATTCACCAATAGTAGGAAAGTTTGGAAATTGTTGAAATATAGGTTGGACGATTCAAAAATGATTCAGAAGCGGACGTTCGTTTTTGAATCGATTCAATAACGGATGAAATTCGATAACGAACGTAATATCTATACTTTATTGAAGAAATGAAATAAAATGCGCAAGATTTAAGCTTAATACACATGAATTCATACAAACAAACACGAAAAGGACCGATAAAAAGCACGATACAATATGTATGTAATATCTGAATTATGATCTAAAAACAATTTTTTGATTTTTTTTATAAAATTCCAATTGCTAAAGCCCTCGTTTTTATTTGAACTTTGCGCAAAGAAATGTCGAAAATGAAATCTTTTCTTAAAATCTCTCCAATCTGTACTAATTCTTTCAATTCAATTCAATTCATTCAATTAAAATGAAATGGTAAATCATGGAAATGGTAAAAATGGTAAAACAATGGAAATGGTAAAGAATTTCCCCTTTCTGGGTGGTCGACGAGAAAAGAGAAAAAAAAAAAGTGATTACATCAATCAAATGAAATTGATTGATCGAGCCATTTTTATGCAAATAGAGAGAGGAATTCAGAAAAAAGATCTCGAAAATACAAGCAACTAAATAAATTACAAGCAACTCGCTCGCAGCGACCAACTTTCGGCGGCTCGTTTTCAGCGTGGTCGAAAGATTGCGCCCTCAAAACCGATAACTTTTGTGTGGACGTTTATAAAGATCATTTTGATACCAAAAAAATAAAAATTGACCAACTCTGCGAAGACTTGATGCCTTTTTAAGTTGAAAATGACGTTTTGCGACTTTCTGCCCGCTAAAACGTGGGCAATCTGCCGTAACCCAGTACCCGTAACCCAGTACCCGTAAGCCGTAACCCGTAAGCCGTAACCCGTAAGCCGTAACCCGAAAGCCGTAACCCGAAAGCCGTAACCCGAAAGCCGTAACCCGTAAGCCGTAACCCGTAAGCCGTAACCCGTAACCCAGTACCCGTAACCCGTAACCCGTAAGCCGTAACCCGTAACCCAGTACCCGTAAGCCGTAACCCGTAAGCCGTAACCCGTAAGCCGTAACCCGTAAGCCGTAATGTCAAAAAGCATGAAGTAGAAAAGCCGCGCTTGTTTCCTTTTCCAGAAATGGTAAATCCCCCCTTTCTGGGTGGTCGACGAGAAAAGAAAAAGAAAAAAAAAGTGATTACATCAATCAAATGAAATTGATTGATGGAGCCATTGTTATGCAAATAGAGAGAGGAATTCAGAAAAGAGATCTCGAAAATACGGTTTACGAGACAAGAAATTGGTTTAAAGGGGATTTGAAAAATGAAAAAAGCGGTATTTTTGGGTTAAATCAAGGACCTCAACCATTGTACGTTTTCTCCATTACTGTCTTTGTTATATATATGCTTTATTCAGTTGAATAGCCTCAAAACAAAATCACAATAATTACCCGGAACACCACTTTGTTGGAAAAACAATTTTGCTAATCAAAGAAATTGTAAAGTTTTGTAAAGTTCTGTAAAGTTTTGTAGAGTTTCCCAAATACTGGACACTGCTTGCGCTTTTTGCCTGCCTGAACCTGAACTTTGCAATATCATCAAGATTATGATGATTTTTTGAATTGAAACTGTTAGAAAATGCAATGATCATGGAATGAAAGACGCCAAGGAATGTACAGAGATTGACTGGTTGATCTCTTCTTTTCCCCTTTTCCCCTTTCTAAATATTTGCTCTCTAAAGAGTCCTTTATAAGCTTATTTGAGGCTTTTCGATCGGCTATGTACACTTTTAGAGTGAGACCGCTAACACGAATTTTGCATGTTTTAAAGTGATCGACTGGAAAGAAGACGTCTTGAAGTTAATAACTGGCAAGTCTTGAAGGAAAGAAGACGTCTTGAAAGAAAGAAGACGTCTTGAAGGAAAGAAGACGTCTTGAAGCTCATAACTGACAAGTCTTGAAAGAAAGAAGACGTCTTGAAGTTAGTAACTGACAAGTCTTGAAGGAAAGAAGACGTCTCGAAGCTCATAACTGACAAGTCTTGAAAGAAAGAAGACGTCTTGAAGTTAGTAACTGACAAGTCTTGAAGGAAAGAAGACGTCTCGAAGCTCATAACTGACAAGTCTTGAAAGAAAGAAGACGTCTTGAAGTTAGTAACTGACAAGTCTTGAAGGAAAGAAGACGTCTTGAAGTTAATAACTGACAAGGTAACTTTAAATAGTTTTAAGGCCAGATAAAATTCAGCTGTCAAACATCAAAACGAAAAACAAAAGCTTTACAAAAGAGATCGAACTCGAGCAAAGAACGCAGCGATCGTTTTGTATGCAAGCGTCTTATCCATTAACTTCAAATCAACTCACATTTGGGAAGATAATTGTTATAAAGGCATCCCTATTCGGCTCCAAAGACTAATTCGGTTTTTCACCTTTTCACACTAAAACATAAAACACGTATAACTATATAGAAAGCCATTTTGTAAAAAAAACGGAAAGCAGATTCGGAAACAAATTCTGCGTCGAATGGTCTATGGTTTATCTCATTTGACCACATCATACTGTTGCCTTTCCCTTTTGAGGCTAAATACCATATTTCTTCGTATCCCTTCGAATTCTCCGACCGCTCTTGAATATAAGACCGATTTTTTATTCGAAGTATCACATATTTTCTTTTTTTACGCTAAAATTACTCTATCCGAAATCTGAAAAGTAAGCCCAAAAGTGTAGTTTTATTCCATGTCGTGTTTTTTTTCTGATTTGAATAGTACAAAAATAAATTTGATGAGCTCTACACTAACTGGTTATCAAATGAAACGATGATTTTTACAAAAAGCGAAAAGATTATAAGAGATGGATCGGTTTCTTCAATGGATTTTAATCGCTCGGGAAAGCCTACCAAACAAGCTAATCGAGAAATCTTTTAAAATTTGTGAATATCGAATGTATTGGATAGCAGTGATGATCAAATTGTTTGTTTTCGTAAAGGAGAAGCTGTTGAAAATGTTTATTGCGCAATTGGACTAGCAAAATGATCTAGCGAACGCAAAACTAGCAAAACTCTGGTCTGATGAGAATAAAAACAATGGTTATGAGAACGAAAACGTTTCGATTTCGAGCTTGGAGGCGTTGATTCGCTGATTCGGCTTTGCTTGTGAACGACTACGAATTAAGTAGTGATAAAGGATGCCTAAAATTTACGTATCTTATTCCTTTTTTGTTTCATTTTTCGAAGTTATTGGCACATTGGTGGTTGGCTTATATTTTTGAGCTTTTTGATCTTTTCGACTTTTCTGGGGGTAATTGATAGTGCTGAACAGAATTTGAGTGTTTCTATGTAAAGGTTTGTTATGAATTTTATTGATTTTTGAAGCTCTAAAGTAACGCGGCTTTACTGTAAATATTTGGGGGATTACTAAAAGAGAGACTCAAAATTAGGCCCTAAAAACCTTTTCAGTTTTATCTTGTTGATTCAAATTTAGTGGTCCTAAAAGCTTTAAGAAATAGTTTTGGTTAAGAGGTTGACTCCTTTACGGTTCCATTTTGAATTCCTTATTTTGTGTTGACATCATCAATTCCGAGAAGGTATTGAATCTCTTGAGAAACCACATGGGTCATTATTATCGATTATTATCATTATTATCGATCGCTCAGCAGCGATCGATAATAGAAGTCGTGAACGAAGCCAAGCTGAGGGACGTTATTCAGGCCGATCCATGCCAATCTGCCCTCATGGTGTATTGGTTAAGTTATCACTTCCAAACTGAGGGTGTGGGGTTCGGCCCTCCTAGGGTTCTCTTCCCTAGCCCGTGCGCCCAGACTAGAGGTCTCTTCTCTAGAGCTGACTAGAGATCCATTCTCTAGCGGAGTTCACTCTTCCACTGGGTTGGCCCATTCATGGCCTGAGGTTATTAAAGCAAGAAGCCTATCTTCTATCTATCTTCTTTTCTCCCCGCCTCCACATCGCCGAGTAAAATATCTCATCTTTCTCTATGTATTTATGTGTAGATTTGTGTATGGTCTGACTGATTACGCTTTATTTCATGTCCTGAATAAAGTATGAATATATATTATTATCGATTATTATCATTATTATCGATCGCTCAGCAGCGATCGATAATAGAAGTCGTGAACGAAGCCAAGCTGAGGGACGTTATTCAGGCCGATCCATGCCAATCTGCTCGAGATCTTGCGAAAATATTCCATTGTGATCATGTCACCATCGAGCGCCATCTTTTTTTTCAATTTACTGTCAAATCGGCAGTTTCTTTTGCACCACCCTAATAGATAACGATGGTGCTTATTTTTTTAAAAAATAAATTGTTACCTAAAGGAATTTTGATTGAATTGAATGTTTGTAAAAAAACTGGAATTTCATTTGCATTAACCTAGTAGTTGTTGATAGATTTTGTTAACATTTTACAATAAATTTCGATAAAGAAAGCTGTTTTTCTAAATGTTGATTACTTTTATCAACAAAGAAACCTTTACTCGTTCCCCTTTTTCCCTTGAATACATGACTTCCTCTTTCCAATCCCCTTCCAAACAAATGACCCATAAAATCCCGGAGTTTTTCTTCTTATCGATAGGAAAAACTGGAAAAGAATCGAGAATTTTTCCTGGTTTCCCCAAAATATTTCATTTCTGAAGCACACATTTTTCTTTATTTCATTTTCAATGTTAAAGAACTTTGTCTTCTTCAATTGTTTAGTGGTTTTGGGTGAGTACGTTTATTGAGTACGGATAGCTTTTCTATTTTTTCTATTTTTTTGCATCAAATCAAATTTCTCAGCTATTTCCCAATGTCCAACACAGGACTGGCTCTACGATACATCGACAAATGCCTGCTTTTTGCCTGTTTTACAAAATTTAACCTACGCGGTAATCAGTTGCGAATTTTAAAAGAAAAAAAAAATTGCTTCTAGGATGCTCAAAAAAATTGTCAAAGTCAAAACTCGGCGCTCATCTCGATAAAGACCACAATTTACAACACTGTTGGGCAAAGTGAGTTCAAAGTTTCATTAGAATTGTCAAGTTGTTATGGTTTTCGTTCCGGGATTTCAAATTTCTCCACAAATTTCTCCATTTCTCCATCTATCCAACTCTTACAGGGTTTTTGAAAAAACTTTTAACCATAACTTTCCTGAAGTAAAGCTTTTTCAGCGATTGTAATCTACGATGCTGAACACGAGGATTGGTGGACTGGTGGGACAAGGGATAATGTGAATGTGAGTTGGCAGTTGATTGTCAATGATGTTTTTGAGTTAAAGCCGTACAGATACAGATAATCTCCGTTTCAGAGTCCCTTTCATTGGCCCGATGGAAATGGTTTGACATTCACGAATTGGTTGCCCTCATTTCCTGATAAAGGTTTGAAATCGGACGTGACTTGTACGTCTAGAGCTTCCGGCTAAAGTATACCCTAAAAGCTGCACTTCAGAAAAGCTACCGTAATCTGTCTTCAATAGTACGGTAACTTTACTCGCTAGAAAGGGGGGGGCTTTGCGCAACTTGCCATAACTTTCTTCTAAATTCGTCAATCTTTATGATTTTGATGTCATTTTGTAGATCTCAATAAGTGCAACAAAATTACACCAAAATCATAAATATTGGCTCACTTAGAAGAAAGTTATGGCGAGTTGCGCAAGCGACTCAGTTGGCGCAACTTCTAAGTCATTGGCGCAATGACTCTGTTGATCTAAATGGAGATCTAAATCTAAAAAAATGGAGATCGACAAAATGACTGTTACACTTATTGAGATCTACAAAATGACACCAAAATGATAAAGATTGACGAATTTAGAAGAAAGTTATGGCGAATCGCGCAAAGTAGCCACACTGGTTTATTTATGATATGCATAAATATGTTAAATGTAACCAAAATAAAGAAAAATCCTCAATCCAGATAACCTAAAACTATCTAGTGATCGGCCATGATTGTCTCGCAATTCACATGATTAATGCTATCTATGGTGGATGGCAAAATGAGGATTGTACACAAAAATGGCCATCAATTTGTGTCATTGAGAGTTGGTTATTCGTTAAAGAATTAAAAAAAACTAATCTCACTAAATAGATGCTCTACCAATACCAACAGAAGATACAAAAGATTGCCCACAGCAGAAGTACAATAAACCCACTGATATCGTCACTTCACCAAGGTAAGGATAAAAAAAATGTGCCATATTTAGCATATCCAATCCATTAGCTTTAAAATATCCGATTTTAGATGGCCTAACAACTACCCGGATCTCTCCGATTGTTATTATTTTATCACGGTAAGAGAACAAACAATTCAAAATCTATCACCTTGTAAATATCCATTAATTAACATCTAGGTATCTCAAGGAAAACGCGTAAATCTTACACTGGATTTCTTCAAAACAGAGGCTTGTTGTGATTGGTTGTATATCTATGATGGACCCGATACACAGAGTACAAAAATAGCCAAGTATGAGATGAATAGTGGCATTGTATGCGAAGAAATTTCAGCCTAAGGGGCTCAGTAGCAAATGGTACTTCCTTTACGTCATCGTCAAATACTATGACACTTCGTTTCACTTCTGATGAAAGCAATAACGATAAAGGATTCTATGGCCGTTACAATTGTCAATAAAGATTTGTTGCAGTCTTCTTTCCCCCCCTTCCCTTCCTCCCCCCCCCCCCCGCCCCTAAATAAAAGAAATTAGGAGAAAGTTTTGAATGGAACTTTTAAACCCCCCCCCCACGACAAGAATAGCTTCTTTCCAAAAAACTTTGTTTGCTTCCCTTTTGACTCAGGACCTCCCAACCCCCCCCCAACGATCTAAAACAAATCTCTCCCCCCTAAAACAAAAAACCCCCCCCCCCTTTAAGAAAAAAACCTCCCCCCCCCTCCGCTTCACAACCCCTTCTACTCCTTCGGCTGACCCCCCCTCGCGTCGAGTTCTAAAGGAAAAATCACAAAACATATAGGTAAGCAGATTTAAGCAACTTACACAGATCATCGAGCCAGATTTATGAATATTTTCCTCGCTTTTCGATTGACGAGCGGGCGGCAGATTCAGCTCGACATCATCACTACAACCATCCTAAAGAGAAATGTATTAAAATGTTGTAAAGAAATAAAATTACTCTTAAACATTAAAATCCTACCCAACCTGTACAGCCTTGATCACTTCTTTGATATTTTTTCGTTTAAAATGCTCCATAGTTATCTTAAAATAAGGAAATTCGCTGATAAAAAAATCAACCTTGAAAGATTCGGAAGACGATTGTCCCTTGTTTGGTGTTGGGGGTGTAGTTGGAGCGAGAGCGGACATCCACACGAATCCATCCATTTCTCTATCATGATAAAATTTGTCTATTGTTAAAATTTCCCCTCCTTCTCTTATTGTTCGTTCCCTGTATCTTTTAAAATTTGTTAGTTTTTTCTATTTTTCTCGGTTATTTCCACTTTGTTGATCTGCGGACCCGTGTCTTTCATACTACCGATAAAGTTGAAAAGCTAAAAATCTTTTCTCTATAATCTTCTATCTATAAACGCCAGTCAATCGAGCCCAGCCGCGAATCGTCTTGTTATTCTTCTAGTTTTGGCAAACCATTTAGAATTGATGTTTCTGGGTTAAAAGATTTAGCAGCTTGGGTAAGCTTTCAAGATTTTTGGAACGTTACTCCTTAATTGAATATTTTAATGTCTAAATCTCAACATATTCAGCTTTTTGCTTTTGCTTTGCTTTTAGCTTGCTTTGCTTTTAGCTTTTACAACGTTTTCACTCAATTCTTCACCTTTTTACTCCTTTTCTAGCATTTCGTATTCGTTTTCTTGGAAAATTTTATGTTTTAGGTTCGATGTGCGACAAAAGCTGGGATGACTTTAAAGATGAATTTGAAGATTTAAAGATGAATAAATGAAATTCAAAGCTGAAAAAAATTCTGAATTATCTTGAAAACTTCCAGATTGGGTTGTTTAAAAATTTTTAGCAAGAAAAAGTAGTAGCACCCCCTCTAATAGTAGCGCCCCTACCCCCCAGGGAAGGGAAAAAATAGTAGCGCTGGTTCTACTATTAGAGGTATTATGGTAGTCATATTTGCAAAGCAATAATTTACATTTAGCTTTGAATAATTTACATTTAAACGGTTTATCGCTTTATCGGGCGGAGATCTTTTTGTCTACTATTCATTTTTTCATTCGTCATCTTCACATCGCGATGCCGGTACGTTTGGTTTTTCTTACTTCATTTTATGACAACTAAACATTTTCTAAGTGGATTTCAGCAAGCCTTAAAATAGAACCGAATTTGAGCCTAGTTTTGCGTTTTTCAGTTTTTCACTATTTGTCTGCTTACCTGTTTATCACTTTTATTTCTACCTATTTCAATTTAGACACCATCACGGCCACATGACTCAACCGCTGGCCCAGTTCCCGGTGATGGGCATGGTTCAAACAAATGGGTAGAAGCATTCCTCGACGATTGCAGAAAAATGGGTGAGTGTTAGCGTTTGATCATTTGAAAATGGTAGTCTAAATTCAAGTATAGGCACGAACGGAATGCTCAAGCAATATCGCAAGAACAGATCCTACATCGCACCCAACTACTCATTTGAGGCCTTCACGGAAAATCCACAGTGCAACCGATATTCAGTGAGAACATGTTTTTTTTTTCACTATACACGGTGATCCAAAAGTTCCCATACAAGTTTTTACTAAAACTTGATTTCAAAATGACTGTGGAAAGCTATCCAACTAAACTTTTTTCATGAAAACCTTAATAAAATTATGCTTAAAATCACTAATAAGGAGTCCATAGCTCATAGCTTTTTTTATATGGTTAGCCCTTTGAGCCGCGCACAAGTGGTCGACAGCACGCTGCCAAAATCGACTTTCTTTTCAATTTTTTAGTCATGCGTGAAGTTTAGACTAATCCCAAACAAAAATTTATAAACTTTTAATGTTCACCTTTATGCTAAAAACGTTAGAAAATAATTTTAAAAGCGTTTAGGCTAACATTTATTTAAAAAGAAACTCCCTCGTATCAAAGTCAGCAGATTTTTGTGTCTTGATCGAAAAAGAGCATTCTCCAAAAAGTCCCAGAAAAGATTTCAACATCAAGTTTAGTCTATTTTAATTGGAAAACAATTTTATAGCTTAAAATTTGTGTAAATTGTTTAATTTCATCGGTGCTAAGGTTCTGTATAAACATTCGAAGTTGATTAACTTCGGCAGCGTGTCGTCGACCACTTATGCGCGCTCAAAGGGCCAACCATATAAAAAAGCTATGAGCTATGGGCTCCTTATTAGTGGTTTTAAGTATAATTTTATTAAGGTTTTCATTTTAAAAAAGTTTATCTGAATAGCTTTCCTCAATTATTTTAAAATCAAGTTTTAGTAAAAAGTTATACAGGAACTTTTGAATCATTTTAAAAAAGTACATTTTAGGATGTGGTTTGTCTTGACGAGAGTCGAGTGATGTTAAAGATTGAGAAGCCGGGTGAAGGTGATTACATTCACGCAAATTGGGTAAATTTTACTCTAACAGTAGAAATAAATCAAAATTTGTTGCTCGTTGTTTTTTACAACACTCATTTTTAGGTGCGTCTTGCAAATCACGATCGTGTATACATTGCTACACAAGCCCCCATCGACCACACGATTCATGACTTTTGGCGGATGTATGTTCTTTTTTATTTTTATTAAATTGGTTTTCATTTCTTAAATAGTTTCTTTGTTTAGGTGCTTCCAAAACGACGTATTCTGCATTGTGAATCTTGCCCGCCAAACGGAAAACGGCCGTGCCAGTTGTGCTCAATATTGGCCAGAAAAGGTCGGACACTTCTACACGCTTCCGCAAAATGGAGGGTATCTTGTGAACAACAAAAAGGTAGGCTGGAACTTTTACGGTAGTTTATATTTTACTTTGACAGGTGGAACATGAGGACAAATTCACTCTATCAACAATTGAAGTGGTGCCAAATGAATGCTCAGAAGGAAAAGTTGTGAAGTGAGTTTTGCTTGCCTAACTTTAAAAAATACCCTTGCTTTTAGGATGATCCAATTTTTGGAATGGCCAGACAAAGGAATCCCATTGGGCAGTCGAGTGATTCTTCGCTTGCTTCGCCTTATCACACGAGTAAGTATTTATGTTGTTGCTTTGATTTTGGTTTTGGCCTGTCTTAACGGTATTTCGTTTTAGCAAGACAAATTGGCAGCGAGACAAGGTAACGTGGTAGTGCACTGCTCTGCAGGAATCGGACGAACAGGAACAATTATTCTGATCGATTGGATGCTGCAAGCTATTCTTCATCGACACGAGCACGTTGATGTATGACAGTTGAACTGAACCTGTTATTTCATTTGACTTAACATTTTCTAGGCTACGGCCCTCTTTATGGAACTGCGTCGTCAACGTGCCCATTCGATTCAAACCGAGGGACAATGGCTTTTTATCTACCAGTCGGTGCTTGAATACATGCGGGTTAGTTTCTTTGGCTCTTGTCGGGTTTCCGGGCATTTTGAATGAGTCGTCACGCTTTGAAAGCCTATAACTTTATTCAGAGACATATTCTGATTGGATAATCAAACCAACAAAGAATAAACAAAGCCAACTTTGAGCAAACGAGGCCGATCCAACTTGGGTGCACTGTCGCCTGGTTTGCATGTGAATGCAAAATTCAATCAGAATGTATTTGGTGTCATTCGAAAGCCTGAAATGTCCTCTATATAACGATATAAAAAGTTAACAATAATATTGTCTCTGGATAAAGTTATAGGCTTTCAAAGCCTGACGACTCATTCAAAATGCCCGAAAACCCGACAAGAGCTGTTCCTTTTTCATGTAATTAGATAATTTCATTTTTGAATAACAACACCAATTGGAGTTTTAGTTGAAGTACCCAAAGTATGCACATTCGATCGAGAAAATGGTCGCTGAGATTCGAGCGCTCAATTTGAACTGAAATCGAAATCAATCCAATGCGGGCTCTCAGAAAAAAGAAACCGAATTTTAAAGTGTTCTACTCCTACTCATTTTTCCAATAAAATCGCTGCATTGAATCTTTTGTAACAAATTACATGTGCGCTTTTGGTAGAATAAATATTCAGATTCATGGTTCTTACAAAAAAATTGCTGAATGGGCTCTTAACGGATTGACAAGAGAAATGCCAGGCACGAATAGTTTTTCAAGAAAGAAAGAATAGTTTTTCTAATCAGGGAAAATCCGTCTGCCCGACCTATAAATGTGGGTTGATAAGAGCGGGACAGCTATTTTTGAAATCACTTTTGAAATCATTTTTGAAATCATTTTTGACAAAAGTCTTCAGATGAAATCTTATATAGTGGGTCTCTTGTTTATTTACTGTTTTGCTGTGTGGGCGAATGGAGAATGCCCGCAGGGATCGACACAACTTGGCACCGAACCCGTATGCATTTATGCATTTGGAAAAAGTACGTACTCTTAGCTGATCGGTTGAAAAAACGTTTTTTGAAGGTCTATATTAAAAAATATAGAAAAAAGCAACTTGAATAGGGCTAAATAAAGCTTAAATAATGCAGTGGTCGAGAGATCCACTATAGTGTAATGTAGTGTAATGGAGTGTAATGTAATGTAGCGTAGCGTATTGCAGTGTAATGTATTGTAATGTAGTGTAATGTAGTGTAATGTAATGTAGTGTAGCGTATTGCAGTGTAATGTAATGTAGCGTAGCGTATTGCAGTGTAATGTATTGTAATGTAGTGTAATGTAGTGTAATGTAATGTAGTGTAGAGATCCACCATACAGGGTGGCTGATAATGCGCGTGGTTTTCTTTTCGTTGACAGCGCTCTGCAAACATATTTCTAAGAAGTTTATGTTTAAAAAGTAGCTAAGTATTTGTAGTTTTTAAAAATCAAAACCGTTTCTCGAAAGCTCTTTTAGGTTTTTAGTTATGCTCATTCTTGTAACTTTCAAAAAAAGGCCACTGCCCGGCTGCTCGCTTTTTCAAAATTCAAACCAAAAATATTTTTGTAAAAACGTTTAGTTGATTAGTTTTCCTAAATTAAAAGTTGTTCAACTTCATTCAACAATTTTTTTTTTAAAAGCAAAGTGAATGTTTGGAAAAGAAATTTGAGGCTTTTTATGAAACCCACTTTTTCTTCATTTTTTTGAGTGTCTGAGGAAAGGAGGAAAGAATTCGTAAAAGTTTTTTGAAATCAAGAATGAAAGAATGAAATTTGTTCAATTTAAGCTGCTTTATTGGGTACTTTTCCAATATCGGGGGAGCGGTCCGATTATCGGGGGAGCGAAAGGAAAATCGGGGGAGCACATTTTGCCCCCTCGAAAAATGCATTTCCGGGACTGTATTTTAACTGCAACGTTTTTTTTTCAAACTTTAACCACGATGCGCCTTCTCCGATATTTGTGCGTTCAAGTAATCGACGGCAATCGATTATTTCGTCACCAAAGAAGTCATCCAGTCGTGGATTTGCAAATGTGGCAAATCGATGAAAGTCCGCTCAAAGGGAAAAGATCTATTTCGCTGGGTGTTAGATATTTAAGTCACTTTTGTGATCTAATATAAAGGTTGTGAGAATAACGGGTAATTCGCGGATTTTATGGCGGTAGTTTGTAGAATATAGGACATATGTAGCGCTGCCAAAATTTGCTCCCCCGATTATCCTTCCGCTTCCCCCGATATTGGAAAAGAACCCTTGATTGCACTGCTTGACTGCTTGATTGCATTGCAAGCTGTATTCTCCAGTTATTGAAAATGAAAAATTTAAAGGGAGGGTCGGAGATCCAATTTTTCGGAGTAGAACCAATTTTTTGTTTATAACCTTTTTCTCAAAAAATGTTCAGTCAAAAATTTTTCTCAGGATCGATTTGAATTTGATTGCCATCACTTTTAAATTATAATTACGATCCATATGTATCATTTAAAGCACTTTCGGAGGAAATTCTTTTGGAGAAAAGTTAGATCTTGGAGCTGTCAAAATTAGCATTAGAGGGTGCCCGCTCTAATAGAGGATTTACGGTATTTATATCAAAAATTAAACGATCAACTTCGATTCTATCAAGAGATGAGCCATATAGTTGAAAGTAGCCTTTTTTTTTGCTTAAAATGGAGCTTTTTCGAAAAACAAAGATTTACCTCTAGAAGACGAATAAACAAAGTTCTTTCCACCCAACTCGGCACCGAGCCCGCATGCATTTATGCATTTGGAAAAAGTACCTACTCTTAGCAGTGGTCGAGAGATCCACTATAGTGTAATGTAGTGTAGTGAAAGTAGCCGTTTTTTTTTGCTTAAAATGAAGCTTTTTCGAAAAACAAAGATTTACCTCTAGAAGACGAATAAACCAAGTTCTTTCTTTTGATATTTTTTTCTTTAAAAGAGTTCTTTTCTTTTATGTTATTTTGAAATAACTTTAATTGACGGTATTTTCTAATGAAAAACCCGGGCATGGCTATTACGAGAAACACATTTTCCAGAGAATCCTCATTTTAGTCACTTTCAACTTAAAAGTCACTCAATTCCCCAATAATCAATTCAATTCAAAAACCTATTTTGCACTATTTTGTAGAAGAGATTCAGGGCTTTCGAACAGTATCCACTTATTGGCTGAGGCTTGTAATAATTTTTTATTTTTGGAAAGATATGTGAGCACTGCTTTGATTCCCATCACTCTAATAATTTATTGGAACTCGATGCTAATGAGGTTTTATAAAAATTTCAAAGAGTGATTGTTAACTTTAAATCATATTCCCTATAACTTTTAAAAATTAGACTTCTATATCTGTGTGTAAATCGTGATCCGATCTATTTGAATAAAGTAGAATTTAAAGTGAGAAGATTTGCTTTTAAGACAATTTCTTCACATTTAGTGGCCAGCTATTTGGACGCTCTGTGGACGTGCAACAGTCTAAATGGGACAACGGTTTTGATCAAAAGTGCTTTCGACAACACGGCCATCATCGCGCTCGCCAATCAGTGTGAGTTTCAAGATTGGATTGGTGGATGCCATATTTTTGTCAGGAGTACCGTAACCGTACCGTACGGAGTTACCGTAAAAACTCTAAGAGAACGGGTCCCTGAAACTCTAATAGAACGGCTCCCTGTGGAAGCTTTTTTTTTGCCCCTATAAGTGGCTTTTCCTTGAATATCTCATCAAGAACTTTAAAATAAGTTCCTTAGGAAACAGCCAATTCCTTAGGAAACAAAGGCAAGTTGAGCTGCCAATCCATCGCTGAGAAATGACGTTTCGGCAGCACAAGATCAAGCCAAAAGTTAGACTACGCGATGCTCCGTAGGCTTTAATAGAACGGCTTCCTTACGGTGGGGAGCCGTCCTATTAAAGCTTTAACACTATATTCACGCAATGTTTCATCGTTATGGCTCCACTTTGCCCCAGTCCAATGATTGGGAATCCATCGTTTCAGATTTCAACGACAATCCATACATTGGCGTGCAAAAGTCCAGCGATGGCACTTGGTTCTACGCCGATCGCACAAATCTCACCTATCAGCATTGGGCGCCAGGTGAGGGCAAAGCATTTCTTTTTAATCATTTTTTATTGAGACACCGATAGCTTCTCCTTTTAGAAAATTTTCTTTCGAATTTCTTTCTCTTGTGATTCTTTTCTAAAAGAGTGCTGTGCCGACTCTTATCAGTCCACTTTTTAAGTTGTGCTTTCAGAAATGAGCGATGCCTTTGTTTTCTTTGTTTTCCAACATCAAAACTAGCCAATATTTTTTAAAAGCTTAAAAAGCTGACAAGGAATTTTTTCACTATAAATCAGCGGTAATCTTTTGTTGGCCTTTTGTGAAGGTCTGGGGAGGGGTCACTAGTTTCTAGTTACTTTTTTTGGGTTTTTAGTACGAAAATCTAGGCTAAAACTATGTTTTTCGGAATCAGCTTTGAAAATTACCCTAGAAAACGCAAAACTCGTTATTTGCGCAAAATGTTGCAAAAATTCTGTGCTCTAAAAAAGGAAATGTGAAAGCGGTGATCTCAGGGTGAATGGTTCGTCTCTGACGTGTGGCAGGTGTTTTGAAAATATTTTGCTTTTGCTAAAATGCTGCTAACATTTTGCTAAAATAACGAGTTTTTCGTTTTCTAGGGTAATTTTCAACGTTGATTCCGAAAAACATCGTTTCAGCCTAGGTTTCCATACAAAAAATGCATTTATTTGATTTTTTTTGATTCAAAATGCTACTAGTTTTTTCTAGTTTTGACAAAATTTACTATTTAGAATTAAGTAGTAGTATTAAGTAGTAATTTGCTTGTAGAATCAAGAATTCGGCTTGTGAAGAGAGACCATTTTAGCCTGCGGAAAGTAACCATTTCCCCGTAGCGGGAGAATTCTTTTCCGGTCGACTTTTCCGCCAGAAAGTTTTCGGTAATGAATCGTACGGATTCAGGTGAGCCGCGGAACACGTCGGGGAACTATCAGTGCGCTGTGCTCGATCCGGGAAGCGGCGGGTGGAGGGCGGTGGATTGTGTGACGCCGAGGCCGTACTTCTGCTCGTCTCCCCTCCCCATCCCACCCACCACCCCACCACCAACCACACAACCGCGACCCCGATGCGACAGTGAATGGGAATATTTCCAGAGTTATTGCTACTATCTGCACGTGGGTTTGCTGTTTTAGGCAAAAAAACTCTCAATCTCAAAAACACCGAGAAATCGCAATCTTTAGGATTACAACGGCTACGTGTACAGTTTCAACAGTGCTGAATCGCATTGTGCCGATATGAACGCTCATTTAGCGTCGATTCACTCGACCGATGAGGACGATTTTGTTTACAGTTCAGTTTTAGACTTAATGGCATTAGTTATGGCGTTAAACTGCATCAAAACTGCGTATAATACTGTCCTATCTATTTAGTGAAGACTAAATTCTATTCCTTAACAGTGTTTCGCGGAAATGATCGTAAAATGGGTTATATTTAGAGCCTTTAGTTGGTCCACAAGGTCCTTTTTTTGGCGGAGGCACACAAAAATGTGGGTACCGCCGGTAATTGAGCGCGGGTTTCTCGCTTACCGCGTCATGGCGCACACTACACGCACGCTTACCGTGCCAGTGTGCTAACCATTACACCCGCTTACCGAGCCAGTGTGCTAACCATTACACCACAGCGCAATTACCACTGTATATTACTCAAATTTCTGCTTAGTATAGGGTTGTTCGTATTTCAGATCTTGTTCCATGGATGAGCCATTCGTCGTGTGAGACCGTCTACGCGTGGGTTGGGCTGTACGGTAGCGGGAAGAGGGGTGACGGTGAATGGACAGATGGAACCCCAGTCGACTACAGCATCGGCTCGAGCACTATTTGGGGAGATTGGGGGGTGGGTTTAGGGAAAAGAATTCTCGTACATCTACATACAACTTATCAAAATTTTTATTCAATAAGACGGAGATTCTCAAAGGCTACTCTTCCAAGCATAAAGCTTATAGGCTTTTTTTTTGTAGCTTTAACACTTTTGGAGAAAGCTTTCACATGGGACGAGAGTGCCCTGATTATAGTGCGGTAACCGGCAACCACTATAGCCCTGATGAAGCTCGATCGCGCTTTCCAAAAGCCACATATTGTCAGAGAGACCTTTTTAAAGTAAAACTAATGCTACATTCGGTTTTTTTGGTTTTTAAAGTAATGACATGAGGATTTTTGGCTTAAACGGGCTATACTCGAGTGTAGTCTCTACTCAGGTAAAAATATACTCTTTAGTTGATTTCAGATTCCGAAGCAAAAAGATGGATCGAATTATTGCTCGTCGCTGAGGTACGACTACTACAGCACATGGCTCTCACATAATTTCGGGCGTTTCGTCTGCAAGAAGAGATCAATTTATTGAAAAAAGCAATGACCATTACATAAATACTATTGCATTTTTCATCATTTTATACATGTCATACACAGATTTTCGGTAAAATTCTGCCAGAGGGGCACCGCGTTGTGTGCTCGAGTCGGATCGGCCTTCGAACCGGATCGGCCTTCGAACCGGATCGGCCTTCGAACCGGATCGGCCTTCGAACCGGATCGGCCTTCGAACCGGATCGGCCTTCGGACCGGATCGGCCTTCGGACCGGATCGGCCTTCGGACCGGATCGGCCTTCGGACCGGATCGGCCTTCGAACCGGATCGGCCTTCGAACCGGATCGGCCTTCGAACCGGATCGGCCTTCGAACCGGATCGGCCTTCGAACCGGATCGGCCTTCGAACCGGATCGGCCTTCGAACCGGATCGGCCTTCGAACCGGATCGGCCTTCGAACCGGATCGGCCTTCGAACCGGATCGGCCTTCGAACCGGATCGGCCTTCGAACCGGATCGGCCTTCGGACCGGATCGGCCTTCTGGAATTTTCATTCCCTCAAACGGATATTTCCCCTCTTTGGCCAAATAACGGAAACTCATGAGAGTTTCCATTGAGAATTGATAGAAAAGAAAGGATGAGAGAAATTGAAAAAAGAAAATGATTCAATAGATGCTTTTGGATAATGTTTGCGTGATTTGAAATTGGAAAAAGGGGAAGGATATTAAAAGAAAATGAAACTATAGAATACAACCACCCTCTCCCCCCCCATAATCTAATAATTTTATGATGTTTTCATTTGAGAAAAACAAAGACCAACGCCACAAAGATTAGAAATATTTCTTTGCCTTTAATGTATCCTGCATATTTGGAGAAACTGTCACTTCTTCGACTATTCGGGAAAATGATTTCCCGGGAAGTGTCGGACAATTTGCATATTTGATGGAGATGTTTTTAAAAGATATAAAATTTTCCCGAATTGTTCTCGGACTTCAGAAGAGCTGTGGATCGTTACATAATGATTTTAGCCAGTTATGGGCTTGATGCGACGATTCTTGCTTGCTACCGGATGGGTGTTTTCTCATTCGATCCGCCTCGCCCGCTAAAATTGACTTTCTCGTCGGCTCATGCTACATCAAATCTTTAGCGTTAACCGGCGTTAATCATTTTCCAAGGAAAATTGACATTCTCGTCATTGAATTGAAATTGACGATGTTACATCAAATCTCCTGAGGAGCGTTAAACATTTTCCAAGGACTTTCCTGCCACCGATGTGTAGAAAAATGCAAATCAGACGTGCTGATCCAACAAGATTCACGCGCTCTTCAATCGTTGCAAACATTGAAATGATGGATCTAACAGAAATGGACTGGCTTAAAAAGGATGAGAAGATATTGGTGAAAGCTTGATGCAATCAACTTCTTCAATTGTGGTGCTAAATCAAGGAGCCCCAAAGCGACAAAGAGGCCGACCCAAGAAAAGTCAAACAGAACAGACAACAAATGCAGAAGGATCAATTGAAGTCGTCAAACGAAAAATTTTCAAAAGGAATGGAACTCCAGGTAATATTGTGATCACGGAGGCCAAAACGTCATTGAATCAAGAATCACCTTCCCAACCTGTGGTCAAGACGCGAGGAATTGATGCAAACCACGAGATTTCCCCTACTTTGATCCACAATTCTCCAATAAAGTAAGACAAACCTCTCCTGCTTTAGAAATTTTCTATAGTAATGCCCATAGCATCGTTTCTTTGGCACATTGGAACCGTATTGGAAGCGTATTGAAACCGTATTGGAACCGTATCAGTTTATCCACTTTTCAAGCTATTGTTAGAATTTCGAAATCGATAATCGATAATCGGCTAGCCAATTATGATTTTCGCTAGCGAAATCATTTGATTCATAATCGGCTGAAATTCATAATCGGCTACGACATATATAATTCAAATATTTATTTTCAAATTCAAATTTCTGACGTTCAAACTTTTTTCAACTTTCTCAAGAGTTCTTTGGAGACCTATTTTTCGGCTCGCATTCAAGAGCCATGCAAACAGGAACAGTCTGACAAGGTGGATGGGAGCATCTCGCCTGAAAATGTGATCTATCTACCGTAATATACAGGGTGTTCCAACAAAAAGGCATTTCAGCGCGATTTTTCTCAGAATTTATAGTGGGCTCTTGGTGGTTGTTGTGGTGCCAAAAGTGAGTATTTTGAGCGGATAAATTTTTGATATTTTGTCATTTTTTCCCGACGTCATGACTGACCGACTTTCATGACCGATACATGAAATTTCTCAGCCACCATGAGACTTTTGCCATAAAATTGAAGCTTTCTACTGGCATCGTGGTGGCATATTAGAGATAACATGTAAACTAAGATTTATAACCAAATACTTTATCGGTTTAGAACATCCAGTAACTTCTTGTACATAGAACTCTTTTAACTCGCAATGTTCAAAGAGGCAGCCACGTTCTACTCATGAGCTACTAATCAATAAAGTCTTTAGCTCTTAGTTTGTATATTAACTCTAATATGATACCACGATGCCAGTACAAAGTTTCAACTTTATGACAAAAATCTCATGAACGGACTTTTTTGGAACACCCTGTAGTATCAAGGCTTTAGGTTTTTTGGCAGTTTTTTTGTCAAAGATAAATTGAGGTGCAGCTAAACTGACTTTATCCCTTTTCCAATCTTTGAAACAAATGCTCTTTTAAAAACAAATGCTTTAAACAGCTCTTCATTTCTTTTGAGACAAACCTCTCGAATGAGACATTTCGTGCCCGGGGGACAATCAGCTTGAAGACAAGGATCGCTGGAAAATGAACTCATTTTCTCACCAAAATCATTCAAACGAACACGTGAAAAATTGGTGGATCAATTTGTGGACATTCATAGTGTTGAACACAAAGGTTTCTCGTGGGATCCCGCAGAAATCCTGTCACACAAACACAACTTGGTGTTGAACACGGTAGAGAGCAAGACTGGAAGTTCTTGTTATTCTTGTTGATCTGTCTCAAGTCCTCGAAAAAGTCGTAAAACTGACCAGATCATGATAGAAACACGTTGGCTCACAAGAGTTCCCGCATTGGGAAAAGATTTCATTTGTAGAGCAATCTAGAAGCATCAATCTAATTCTTAAAACTGAGTTGGTCATGTCTAGAGTGTGTTTCTCAAAAGTAATGCTTTTTTTAAAACGCACCCTTGGAAAAAAATTATTGCAAAAAAGTGGCGAAAAAATTATTGCAAAAAAATGGCGAAAAAGTCACGAGCGCCGCTTTATATATGACTCCTTTTAAAGATATTCAATCGTTTAACTGATTTGGCGGCAAATTTCCTTCAAATGTAAAGATATTCAATTTAGTCGACGTGTAAAGGGGATTACTCGTACTCGATCAAAAGATGTCGATTAATCGGGGGTGGGACAATTTGCGCACCTTTTTTTTGCTGGAAAAGGCCTTAGGCAAGGCCGTAGAGCTTCGAAAATATTTCCATATAAGGGAATCGTAGATTCTGAATTTCGACAAATCAGACCTCGCTGACACGTCAAATTTGGGCTAAAAGGCAAAAACTACGCAACTTAACGCTTTTTTGCATTTTTGCCTTTTAGCCCAAATTTGACGTGTCAGCGAGGTCCGATTTGTCGAAATTCGGAATCTACGCATACGATTCCCTTATATGGAAACACTTTTTGAAGCTCTACGACCTTTCCTAAGGCCTTTTCCAGCAAAAAAAAGGTGCGCAAATGTCCAGGTGCGCAAAAAAAGGTCGCATTTGTCCCACCCCCGATTAATCGAGTAAAAATTACCACGGGGACGGGGAATACACTCACGGGGAACATCACAATCACGGGGAACACTCTAGTCATGTCTCTTACTTGTTTTTTCCGTTGTTGCTCTAACTCGTCCAAAACTCCCCGTCGAACGATTTGATTTTCCAGTGTTTTGCACTAGACTTTTATTATTAAAACGTTTTAGACATTAGGACATTGTTTGCTATTTTTTTTCAATCTTTTCAATCTTCACAAATCTTTACCCATTTTCTTGCTTTTCGGTGATCCAAAAGCTGGTTTTGTACTCATTTTCACCGCTCTTTTCTCCCAGGTTGAATATTTCGATTTCTTCATCACTTCATCCATTTTCCTTGGACTCTTTAACAGCTTTCGCATCACCCCAAATTTATTCGATAAGAATTTTTCTTCTAAATTTCATAGTTGACTGAAAGATTTCTAAAAAATCACCCAATTCCAGCGGATTTCTCGCGCATTTTTCTGTCCCATCGCGCGTGGAATATTTATAAAAGCCATGAGGACAAACTTTTGTTGAGATTTTCTCTAAATTTTATGAAACTTACGGTATTGTTGAGCCATTTAAGCCGTGGCTACAGTGTTCAACTTACTCGGCAAAATGATCTCGTCTCCGTACGAGTTTTGTCCTCCTTCAACATGCAAAAATGCAATCATTTCAAGAAGAATCAAATAAAACATAGCTTCAAATGGTTGTGTGGCTTGAGTTTCAAAGATTGAGTGTACTGTTCCTTTCAGTGTACGTTTTTTTTGGTGTAAAATTGAAATTAGGTCTTCCTTTTGTGATCATCCATTCACTCATTCTTTCATTCTTTCTCTTTCATTCTTTTTCATTCTTTCTCTTTCATTCTTTCTCTTTCATTCTTTCTCTTTCATTCTTTCTCTTTCATTCTTTCTCTTTCATTCTTTCTCTTTCATTCATTCAATTTTTCTTCAAAACACTCTTCTCCCTTTTTTTTCATTCCGGGTCAAGAGGTTCCTCTCATTCTTTTTTTTTTTCTTTTCACAATTTCTAAATCTTCTCCTCTCATTTCAAATCCTCTTTAGGTAAATTGGATAAAATTTTGAGCGGATCCACTTCAGAAATAGGATTTTTGAAAGGAAAACAAGAAAAACAAACTAAATTTCTGAATGGGTTAGGCTCAAAAAAAATGTGGTAAAGCTCTGAAAAAGAAAAAGGATTACCTTGCGTTCTTTGTGCTCACAATCGAACGCGCGCTTTCTGGGACACCAAATCGAGTCTAATCGAGTCTACCAGATGAAGAACACAGTGTTTTCCCTTTCCAGAGCTAAACTCTAATGTGACCTTTCTAAATGTACCATTTCATCATCTAAACGTCATTTCATCTACAATTTATCGAGTAAAAACGAACTTAAGAACTACAAATTCAAACTTTTCCCCTTGATGCCCTTTTGTATAACCAAATTCGAACTTTAAATGTCCTTATCAAGTACAAATCCCTTTTATCATCCTTTCAAAAACATTCTTTTTTCCATTTCTCAAGCTCAACAAGTCAAATTTCTCTTTTAAATATTTCCTTTCCGATATTTCCTTTCCTATATTTCTTTTTCTATATTTTTTTGCTGTTTACAACTCTCGTAAGCGGAAGGTTCGAGCAAAAAATCGAAAATTTTTGAAAAAGAATGGAAAAAACGAATTTCGAAATCTATTTTCTGCTTTTCTTTTCTTTTTCTCGTCTCGTGTTGTTGACTATTTTGGGTCTCAAAAAGAGAAAAAAAAGGAAAGAGAAAGGAAAGAGAAAGGAAAAAGAAAGGAGGTCCAAAAAGTGGAAAACAACACTGCAAAGTGCACCCTCGTTATTTTTTTTTCTCTTTTCCATTCTTTTTTTTTCATTTTTTTCTTTTAATATTCTCAATCGAAATTCACGTGTTTTCTCCTCATTTTTATACAAAAACTGGGTCATTTGCGCAAACAGATAAAGCTGATAAAGCCTTTCTGTACTTGTGAAAATGATCCGTACGCGTTATTGTGCTTCATTTGGACTTTAGCAAGGACATCTATTCATATAAAGAAAAGCTGGGAATGTTTTTGGGAGTGGCTACTTTGCCCCAAATTTCTTTGCCCAACTGGGTCATTTGCGCAACTCGCCATAACTTTCTTCTAAATTCGTCAATCTTTATGATTTTGATGTCATTTTGTAGATCTCAACAAGTGTAACAGTCATTTTGTAGATCTCCATTTTATTTGCACAACAGGGTCATTGCGCCAATGACTTAGAAGAAGTTGCGCCAACCAACTGAGTCGCTTGCGCAACTCGCCATAACTTTCTTCTAAGTGAGCCAATCTTTATGATTTTGATGTCATTTTGTTACACTTGTTGAGATCTACAAAATGACATCAAAATCATAAATATTGACGAGTTTAGAAAAAAGTTATGGCGAGTTGACCTGTTGCAAATGACCCAGTTGCGCGATATCATTGCCGTCCAGAATTTGGCGCAAAGTAGCCAACCCCGCCGCCAATGAAAAGCAATGAAGCCAATGAAAGCCAGCCAATGAAAAGCATTCATAAAACATTTTTCAGCTTAAAACAAATCAATTTCTTTCTTCACTAGATTATTTTTGCTATCAATAAGTGAATAATTTTGCTATTTGAACGAAAATCTTTTTATTCATTTACAGGTTAAATTTATAAGTCATTACTCTTTGAACTAGCTTTTCTTTATACGAATAAATGTCCTTGCTTAAGTCCAAATGAAGCACAGTAACGCGTACAGATCATTTTTACAACTGCAAAAAGACTTTATCAGCTTTATCTGTCCCCAAATATAATTATTTCAAATCTAACAAGAACCAAAGCTTTTATCATCTTCTAGTTCAAGGTAAAACGCTGCTGTTTCATATATAATATATATAAACTTTTTACCAAGCGTGTACCAATATTTGATTACTGTTACCCTACACAAAAAAGTGTAGGGTAACAGTAATCAAATTCTCATACTCTAACTTTTATTTGGCTCAAGAAACATACCATTTCACTATCTTCTACTAACATACCTTCTTTGCCATTCATTATTTTATTTTCTTACTAATGCCCGTGTTCTGATCTTCAAGAAGCCCAAAGTTGGGAAGAGTTGGGAAGAGTTGGGAAGAGTCGGGTATTTCCTTCTCTTTCCTTCTTCTCTTCCCCTTGTATTTCCTCTTTCTTCTCTAAAAAGAAGATACCGAATCGCTCAGTGGTTAGAGCATCTACCAAAGCAAAAAGAACGATTCAATCCCCTCTCCAGAAATCTTTCTTTGCCATTCCTTACTTTACTTCACTATCTAGTCTGGTCTTTTCTCTTTCTTATCGTTGAAAAAAACTTGTTATTGTCCTTGTGTATGTCCCAAAAGTGCAAACCCCGCCCACTCTCCTTTCTGGCCCATCAGCTGTTTGAAAAGACTTTCACCTATCCCTTGTTTTGCCTTTATTTCAATCAGCTTTTATTTTTAGGACAATTTCTGAAAGGTTTAAGCTTTTCAACAAGTAGACTATAAGAATTTTCTCTTGATTATCTATTCCAGAAAGTTCTCCAGCAGTTTATTCCCAAAAATCTCTCATGTTTCTGTGTTACTGAATAACATTTTACGGCTTTTCACATAAATTTCAATTTAGAAACTTAAACGCTATCAAAATTCACAATGGAAGTTCATCGTGGTGGTGTCGGCCGTGTGCCACTTAAATCAACCGGACATTCGGGTAGGCAACATTTATTAAATTCAATTAAAAGTCCTTTATTAGTAAAGCTGCTCATTCTTAGACTGATTGTCAATAGGTGTACAAGGGAAAAACATGATTTCACGACGTTAACGATTCTTTTTAGGGGTTTTCAGGCTAGAGCTTGGAAGATTTAATCTTAAGAAAAGAGATACTGAAAAAGAAATACTGAAAAAGAAATACTGAAAAAGAGATACTGAAAAAGAAATTCAGTAAGAAATACTGAAAAAGTAGTTGCTGAAATGGTTAAATCTCGTTTTTCCGTTGCACACCTATTAGCAAACTAAAAATAAATAGCTCTAGTAAAATAGGAAGTGAAGGAATTGGCAAGACAAAGTAGATTTTCAGAGAGGGAAGTGAACCCTCGTTTGCTTTTCGAGCTTTCCTGCCCTAATCACTGAGCGATCAGTACCTTAAACTGTCAAGAGAAAGAGGGAAAGACTAGGGGGGAGAAGAGAGAATGGTAGATAATATCCTTATCTAAAATCCTTATCGAAAATCCTTGTCTAACATGGTTCTCCTTAATTCAGCTCCTCTCCGCGACGGCCCTCAATATCATTGCCGTCCACAAAATCAGTGGGCTCCTGATAAAGAAGTGGAGAAATGGGAGAAAGAAATTCACGATATTTTTGCTGGTAAGTATTCAAATTTGAATAGAAAACAGAAAAAAACAGAAAATTCTGTTTAAAATAAGCATAAATTCAAAAACTTTTCTAGCAGAAGAGCACAAATTCGAAGAAGCCGAAATCTTGGATTCGTCAAAAGATTTCCCGACTCATTCCGGGATTCAGACACCCGTTCTCAACGCAGTTATTGGACAAAAACCGAAAGGTGAACAAAATAATGGAAAAGATGATGAGATTATCATAATAAAGTTTTAAATTTGATCATTTTTTTGAGGCATTGAAGGGAAAAACTTAAGTGAAGAAGGGCTTTTGGGGAGATTGGCTTCTTACCTACGATGGGGAGAAATTGATTGGCTTCTTACCTACGATGGGGAGAAATTGATTGGCTTCTTACCTACGATGGGGAGATTGGCTTCTTACCTACAATGGGGAGATTGGCTTCTTACCTACGATCAGAAAATGTTTTTTTTTTAATTCTCAAAAATCAAATAAGATCTAAGTTCTTTATCTAATGAACAAATTTGTCGAATAATAGTTTTTCTAGAAATCACTGAGCGCCGTGAGGAAGAACTGAAATCGACCCCTGCACTCGAAAATCGTGAAGAATTCCCTTCGCTTGGAAAAGATTTGAATGGTTAGAAGGAATTATGAAGTCTTTCAACAATATTGAAAAATTTGATTACAATTTAGCATCATTAAAAGCTTATTAGTATTCTATACAAAATAAAATGCTAATTTTCTTTTTTTTAGAGGAAGCCCCGCAACTTTTCGGAACATCACGTCAAGGTGAGTGATTTGAATTTCACATTCACAAAAAGAATGTGATTTTGAGTTTTTCTAGCTTTCAGATCTTTAATTTTCTTGTTTTTCTTTCTATATTTCTAGATATTAATGGATTTTCAGAACTCATTGAATCAGAGAAAATGCCGAGACATGGAGTATCGCTTGAAGAATTCATCGATAATGATAGAGGTAAACACAGAAAGAATTTAGACTTAGATTAGGACATTTTAGACAAAAAAGAAAGAAATCTAGTTAAATTGTAGATCTAGTTATCTTATAGCATTTCTCTATTCAAATAAAACGATTTCCAGCTGGTCAAACGCCTCAAAACATTGAAGGAAAAGTGTGCGAACATCGCTCAGAAACAGCTCCAGATTCCGGAATTCAGCTTGGAAAAGGATTGAAAAAAGAGCTTGCAAAACCACAAGGTGAAATGATCAAGACTGTAACCTGTCAAACATTTTGAAAACCATTTCATTTTTCAGCTCAATCACATCGTTTTGAGGAAGCGGAGATCCTTCAAGAAGCACGCGATTTCCCAGCTCATTCCGGTATTCAGACACCCGTCCTTGAAAGAGCAATTCATGGAGGTAAAGAAGACTTTAGACTTTAAAGTTATCTTTAGAGTTATCTTTAAAGTTATTGCTTTAAAGTTATCTACTAGCACTAGTAGATATTGTAATTGTAACATTAGAGAAAACTAAACCCTTTACAGATCAACCCGAGTTGAATCCACCGAGTGAAACTGACAAGGAAAAGAAAGAAAGTTTGTGAAAATTTTTTGAATGAAACGTTTCAGATTTTAAGATAAAACATCATTTTTTTAATAACGTATCAAGCTTTGGTTTTAAAATTCATAATTCCAGTGAAAGAAGTTCATTCAATGGTTGATGATGTAAAACATGCAGCACAAGTGGTTGGATCGAAGATTGGTGAGTTGAAGAACCTTAGAGAACAAATGATTTAGAGCTTTAAAGTACAGCTTAAAGTACAGCTCAAAGTACAACTTAAAGTACAACTTAAAGTACAACTTAAAGTACAGCTGAAAGTACAGCTTAAAGTACAGCTGAAAGTACATCTTAAAGTACAGCTTAAAGAACAGCTTAAAGTACAGCTTAAAGTACAGCTTAAAGTACAGCTTAAAGTACAGCTTAAAGAACAGCTTAAAGTACAGCTTAAAGTACAGCTTAAAGTACAGTTTAAAGTACAGTTTAAAGTACAGCTTAAAGAACAGCTTAAAGTACAGCCTAAAGTATCACTTAAAGTACTTGCGACCTTTTTCCGAGAAAATCCTGGTGCTTTATAGCGTGGTAAAACTACCGTACCCCTCCTAATTTGCGTGAAATTTCATTTTTTTCTCATTCTTGTTCATTTCATTTTATTCCTTTTGCGCCTTTCTGATGTGCTCGCTTTTATTTTTGCAGGAAACAAAGAGGATAAAGCTAAGTTACGTTTTTAACAGCATTTTCTGTGGTGGAAGCTTTGTTTGTAAAGGTTTTTTAGACCCACTTGCTTCCCCACGATCTTCTTCACGAACTTGATACCAACTAATGTTAAGTTAAGTGGTTTTTATCATTTTCTATGGCGGAAGCTTTGCTTTTGTGACTTTTTAGTTGAAAAAAACGCAAAAAGAATAAAATGAAATGAACAAGAATGAAAAAAATGTAATTTTGCGCAAATTGGAGGGGTACGGTGGTTTTTCACCACGCTTTAAAGCGCCAACCCAAGATTTTCTCGGAAAAAGGTCACAAGTCTTAAAGTACAGTCACCAAAAAGCTATTCAGTCTAAGCAAAACTGTCGATAAGCTACCGTAGTCTGGCCTAATTTTTCGACAATATAAGCTCTCTTCTTCAGATTTCCGTGAGAAAGTTTTCCCTAGATATTTGTCTAAAAATCTGTCATAAAATCTGCAAATTGTATTCTGTCAAAGCTATTCTGTTCTGAATAGCTTAGAAATTACACAGAAAGTACACTCGAGTCGCGACGGGGAATCGAACCCGAATCGAACCGTGTAGCAGGCGAACATTCCAGCACTGAACCAACGGGGCCAATAGCTTGATTTCTAAACCACATCTTTTTAGCTGCGGGTGCGCATGAAGTGAAAGAAATGCTTTCCGATGCAGTCCATCATCTCACAACAACCACTGAAGCCAGCGATTCGGCTGTAGGCGGATATTTTCCATAAAAAAAACTAACAAACTATTTTGTTGCTGTTACCATCCACCTTGTTTAACTTTTCCTTTACTACACTAATTTGGTAACGTGCTTTGTGCTCTAAAAAACGCGTGCTTTCTGGCATACTCGGCTAAAGTGTGTCAAGGAGCGCACGTTGGTAAAAGCACAAAGTACGCGTCATTGCAGCTATCGAAACATGTAAACATTATTCATCTAGTACACACAAATCACAATTGCGCTAGAGAATGAATGTTTACAAAATTTCGGTTCAAAACAATATTAATCTCACTGAAAAACCCTTTTGGTGCACTCTTTTGAAACAAAAAGAACACTATCGACGACACAAAAATTTTCCCGATTCTATTCACTCATTAAAATCTAATAGGTTGATGCATAAGTCTTTTCGTTTTTTTCGTACTTGTGTTAAAAAGTAACAAATTCACCAATTAATCTATAGTTTGCTCCATAAAAAAAAGTGTTTTTTTGTTCAATTTGCATCTTTTTAAATGAATTTCGGTTCACTTTCAAGCAAATTCGAGAGTGAAAAACGCCTTTTTCGTAAAAATCTATAAAAAACTCTACGGAAAAATTGGCTGAATGAATTTCTCTGAAATTTTGGCGAAATATCAAACGTTTTTTTCTCTCTATCTTTTATCTATTGACACGAAGATAGGTTTTCTTTAGCTAAGGTGTCTAAACCGCATCATCGAGTTAGCCCTTTTTGACTACCCGACTTCATACTCTCAAGAAAATCCAGGCATTCAATATTTTTAAACCCGTTTTAATGTTATTTTGCAGAAAAATAATTGCTTTTTCTAATGAAATCAACCGTAGTTTAATTCGTGCATTTGTTGGCTTGAAACGGCAGACGAAAAGGAACAAAAACACTTATGCATCAACCTAATAGATTTTATTTGAAATTGCATGGATTTCTAAAAGTTTTAATGAAAATTAACTAGTTAATTTAATTAATTAACTAGATTAATTAAAAATTCAATTCAAAACCCTCAAGTTTCAGAAGAGCGCCACCGATGAAACTGGCTACAACACTTGCGCTTAAAAAACGTTGCAAAAGTTGCAAAAATTGCAAAAGCAAAAAAAACATCCAATTTTCTAATTCCAATTCTAAACTTTGATCTTTCTATTTCATTTTTTTCGTGTTTATATCATTTTTTTTGACCTCTGTATAACCTATAAAGTGTAAATATTTGTGTTCCAAATTTCCCCCTTTTCCCCTCAGTCAAAAAATGACTGTCAGAATGTTTTCTTGAAGTAGATTATAAAGATAAATCGTTTTCCCCAATGATAAATCGTTTTCCACAAAAAATTCCATAACAGATTATTTTTTGATCAAAATAATGTGCTTAAAAGAGAATGAAACTCGTGACGAAAAATGATGGTTTTTTTTAAAAGTTTGGAACGGTCAAAGGATTAACGCGTCAAAAATAGAGTGTGCTCCTTTCAAATTATGTTTTCTATTAGGTGTGTGAAAAAGTAATCCACGTTTTTAACATTTATGCGGTTTCCATTTGTCGAAGTTTTTGATAAAATTCATGACAAGTGTAACTATTGCCTTTTCTCTATTTTTTGCAAACAGTATTTGATATTAATCTTTAGAAAATCTCGAAAAGTATAGCATATATTAGACTGTCTCGTTGAAACCAAAACCTAGCGGTATCATAGTAACGGGTTCCAAACGCATTCCAAAACCGACGCAGCCCCAGTTTTCAACCCATTTTTGAACTCATAAAGCAAATTTGACCGAATAACGAAACTCGTGTAACCATTTTCAAGCTATTGGGAGGAGCTAGTTTATTGGCGAGATCCTTTTACAAAATTGAATATATCATTCGAAAGAGGAAAAATTAGCTTTTCCAACGATATAATTTATCGTTTACGAAAATTAAAAGTCGTGTTTTGGTATATTTATTTAAACAAAATAAAAAAAAACGCGGATTACTTTTTCACACACCTAATAAAAAGCTTTAAACGACCGTAACCTCGCAGTTCATCAGTAGAAAGTTTTCATTTTTCATTATTTTCATTTTTCAAAGTTAAAATGAAGTGTAACTATTGCCTTTTCTCTATTTTTTGCAAACAGTATTTGATATTAATCTTTAGAAAATCTCGAAAAGTATAGCATATATACGGGGTGGCTGAAAATTACGTGCGCCAAAGAAAACGCCATAATTTAATTTTCTTTCAAAGAAAATGTAAAAATATCTATTTATATAATAGTTGTAACAAAAGCATTTAATAATTACACGAATAATTTTCGAAGTGGCTTTGATACAGGCTTTGGCTTTGTAGGCTTGTACAGGCTTTGATACAGGCTTCAATTCGCTTCTTTACAGAATCGACGGTGCGGCGGAGATAATTTGCATCTAAGTCGTTCCAGATTTTGATCAATTCTCGACGTAAATCGTAAATTGGTGATTTCCCTATTTCTCAATTGTTCTTCCATAAAACCCCAAACCGAAAAGTCCAACGGATTGAGATCCGGGCTGTTTGCAGGCCATTGTTCCATGTAGAAAATGAGTAACAACGCAATGAATGGGGTAAAATTTCATTGTAAGTAGACTCTTACTCATAACTTTTTTAAAACCCAGGAACTCCCAGTAGAAAACCAAATTTGCTATCTCTTATCGTCTTCTTTCTTACGTTCTTTCACTAAAGAAAAGCAATTGACCCCAGCAGATTTTTAAAATATCGAAAATATACAGAAAAAAAAACTGTCCTGGCACGTTGTTCGTCTTTTCTCCGTTGGTTGATCATCTTCTTCCCTTATTTATTTTTTCTAAAAATAAATATTTGTTTAAAACTATAAAATTTCGATAAGAATAGAAAAAAAGTAAAACTTTCAGAAATAATAAAAGAAAAGCACGCTTTTTAGAAAATGACTTTGCTAACGAGCACCTTTTAGAAAAGATGATTTGAACGATTTGAGAGGAACACACATTCAATGTGTAGTTGCGGGCCTCTGGCTAAGATCAATATGTGGTTTGGGTTTTTCGGCTAAGATCAATGTGTAGCTTCTGGTCTCTGGCTAAGATCAATGTGTGGTTGCCGGGTCTCTGGCTAAGATCAATTTGTAGTCAATTACAGTCAAGGAACACACATCTAGTCAACAATGATTTGATGAGAAAATTTTGTGATCTAATAGTAATTATTGTACCAACAATTGTTAAAACCGAAAATTGAAGAATGATAACAGAGACTAAACCGTCTTTTGTTTAGGTTAACCTTGATTGAGAAGATGTTCTCGATAAAAGCGAAATGCAAACTTTTAAATGTCTTCTGATGATGTAAATAAACACTAATAAAACGCCACTCCCATAATGACGGGGTATTGCCGTGTGGTCTAACTTTAAACGTCCCGTTCTCTTTGCTGCTTTATGCTACAGTGTGCGCTTGGATGTCAAATGATAGCCCTTGAAATCTAGTATTTTTTGATACCAAAAGTGTAGTTGGGAAAGATCTAGGGGCTGAGAAAAGAATGATTTTCTAAAAAGAAGTTAAACTACGCGACTCTACGAGAAGGTGGCGTTCTATTAGTGTATCATATACTGGTTTTCTTATTGACAGACTTAAGGATTGCTTTTGAACTAGCTGTAATTCTGCTTGCTAAAAATTAGTCGGCTTATTCAACAATATGAGTAGAGATGAAATTTTGTAATCTTTATATTATCAATTAAATTCAGCTGATCATATTTGATGAAATAGAGAAATCCAATCAGACATTACTACAACTAGAAATCCAGATATTACTACAACTTTTCCCATCTTTTGAAACTCATCTCCCAAAAAAGACCTTTGCCCGGCTTGTGATCGGGTCAAGAATGTCTCTCATTGAAAAAAGGATTATCTCCCAAAAAAGAAATCACGACAAATTCTGATAACGCGAAATTTCCGGTTAAATAAACTATGTCCTTCACAAAAACGTCAGTTTTGTGAAGTTCTTTTCGTCAGTTCTTTTCTTGAATTTGAATTCGTGCAAATTTTTGACCCATCGAAAGCCGATCAAAGCAAATAAACAACTCTAGAAAAATAAGGTCAGCTAAATAAATATTTAGTAATCCCTTTGCTTTTCTCAAAAAGAATTTTTGGTTAATTTTTCGGTAAAAGGGGGGTGTAAATTCCGATCATGCCCAATAAAAAAAGAATTAAAGCCATTTTCATTTCTCTTATCGCTCAGAAATTAATTCTTTCATTTACCCCCCGACCTCGATTTTCATGAAAAGTTTTAAACATTTCTAAACAAACAGTACTCTCTTTTTTTGCTATACAAGATACTCTTGTACTCAGATCGTTAGTATCTTTAAACTAGAGTGTGTTCCTCGCGAGCAAGTAATTACTCGAGTAAATTTGCATGAGTAGTCTCTTACTCGAGTAATAGCTCGAGTAATTGTCGAGTAATAGCTTGAGTAATAGTCGAGTAATGCGTTTTCTAAAAAGTGCGCCTGCGCGAAAAAAATATAAAAGCAATTTTTTTGCGAAAAAGCAACTTTTTTTGTGAAATATAAAACTTAGAACAAAACGCCAATCCACTAGCTTTCGTTGAGCTGTCAGTAAAGCTAAAGTTTGCAAGTTTTAAAGTTTAATTTCCCAATGTAAACCGTTCAACTTCTGATTCGTAAGCACATTTTCGATTAAACCCGAATGATAGAAAGCGATCGCTTCACTGTTCGTCCGAATCTCCATATGTTTTTGTCTGAAAATAGCTTAAACACTTGCATTTTTGGGCTTTTTTTTTTACCGAAAATCTCCCTCTCGTTAGACGAGAATTGCTACAGGACCCATCCAATTAGTGCTGAAATGATCTCTATTATAGAAATATGTATCTGGGTATGTTAAATTAGTTTTTAAAGACTTTTAAAGCACATTGCTTGTCACTTTTAAGGCTAAAAGCAGGAACATCTATCCACAATTCTAAAGTATGCTCCTAAAACGACCGTACTCCTCGCAGTATATAAGCGCTTTTCGCTGAGTCATTTCTCATTTCGTTGTTTTTTCGCGAGTAGGACAAATGCGACCTTTTTTTTGCGCACCCGGACATTTGCGCACCTTTTTTTCCGCACATTGCCCATTAGCGCACCTTTTTTCGCGTTTTAAAAAAGCTCTAAAAAGCTAATATTAACCAATTTCTATTCCAAAAGTTCTTTTTCTAGGTAATTTTAGGGCGTAGAATCGAAATTTTGACATAACGGAGCTTGTGGAAACAAACGGACGGAGTTATACAAAGAGAAAGATCGACAATTTTCATTTGAACAAACAACAATTTGATCTAGCCGTTTTGTCTTTCAAATTGGTTCCACACGCTCTGCTATGTCAAAATTTCGATTCTACACCCTAAAATTACCTAGAAAAACAACTTTTGGAATAGAAATTGGTTAATATTTTAGAGCTTTTTTAAAATGCGAAAAAAGGTGCGCACATGTCCGGGTGCGCAAAAAAAAGGTCGCATTTGTTCCACTGCCCAAGTTTTTCAAAAAAAATCGTGTTTTACATTGGAAAGAAATTTGCCACCAAATCAGTTAATCGGCTGAGTATCTTTAAAAAGTGTCGTATATAATGCGGGGCTCGTCGTTTTTGCGTCATTTTTTTGCAATAATTTTTGCTAAAAGTTCGATAATTTTTCCCCAAGTGTGCGTTTTAAAAAACGCATTACTCCCGAGGAACACACTCTAGTGAATACATCAAAAATTTTGCTATCCAAGATTTGTACTCAGATCGTTAGTATCTTTAAACTATTCTTCTATTCAAACTTCATTCAACCTTCTACACTCAATGCTCTTTCTTTCAGCACCAAAATGCTATTGTGGCTTCTATTTTTTCCATTTCTTCTTGAAATCTCTTCATCATTCTCCTCAAAAGTCACCCTCACTGATCCAAATGGCGGATATTTCTATTCACCAGAATATCATTCCGATTATCCAAATGATCTATCAACGACATACTCAATTTCGGTAAATGTTTAGCTTAGTTTTGCTTAGTTTTGCTTAGTTTTGCTTAGCTTTGCTTAGCTTTGCTTAGCGTTGCTTAGCTTTGCTTAGCTTTGCTTAGCGTTGCTTAGCTTTGCTTAGCTTTGCTTAGCGTTGCTTAGCGTTGCTTAGCTTTGCTTTTAGAAAGTGATTGCACGAGAGTATCATTCTTAAAGGAAAAATTGAATTGCAGGCACCCGATGGTTATTACATTCGAATCACATTTTTGGTCTTTCACACAGAACAGAATTATGATACGCTCACTATTTATGATGGAGATTCATCCGATTCAAAGCTACTTGCTAGGTAAAGTAAAAAAACTTGGATTTGGAACCAAGTGGAGTTGAACCTTCGATCTTGTGCTCACGAGTTTATCCTTGTAGATTGAGCGGTTCACGAAGTGGCACTGTTTTGGTGACATCGGGCAACAATGTCTACATGGATTTCGAGACTGATTTAGCTGTGAATGATCGGGGTTTCTATGCAAAATATGAAGTGTTTCTTGGTAAGTCAAAAAAAATCCAACGCTTCTAGAAATTTCGTTCAATCTTGCCAGTCCAATTTGTCAGCAATTTAGTCGGAACAAATCCGCAAGATCTCCATGGATGTCCCCAGTCTAACTACGAAAGTGCACAGTTTTTGGTATGTTTTTCTTAAACATTTCCCTCCATCCATCAATCAATTTAATATCAATTCATCTATCCGCTTTACAAGCTGATTTCAATTTACATTTCTTAAATTCCAGGGAATAACTTCACCAAACTGGCCGCGAAATTACACGGAACTTCTCGATTGTGGCTATCACATCAAAGTCGATCCTGGGTATACGGTAAGTGAAATCTAATCTCTGAATGTTACAAAAATGACTCAAAAATGTTTTGAACCCTTGGATTTTTGTTGAGAGTTCAAACTGAAAGATAAATGATCGCAAATCCGGCTGGTGTGAGATACTGTCAGTCAAAAAGAGCTCAACGCGGATCTACTGATAAGAAAATTCTTCGAGCTGCAAAGATTCGATCAATGAATTCGACCATTTTGCAAAGATTTTTCAGAAATTACTATTTTTAACTGTCTTTTTAAAACATAAAAGAAGTTATAAACTAACAAAAAATGGTTTAATGTTTTCTAAAAACTTTACAGATTCATCTAATGATTGAAGCCTTTCAAACGGAACACTTTGATTATCTCCGAATTTACGATGGACCCAATGCAGACGCAAATCCGATTGCTGAGTAAGAGCGGAAATTTTGATTAGAGAGCTATTTATAGGTGGAATGTCGTTTAGAAAAAGAGTGAAAGCAATGAGCACACAGAAGATTGAATGTATTTTGTGCTCGAAAAAAGAAAAAACACAGGGAGTGGGACAAATGCTACCTTTTTTTGCGCACCCGGACATTTGCGCACCTTTTTTTCCGCACTTAGCCCATTAGCGCACCTTTTTTCGCGTTTTAAAAAACTCTAAAAGCTAATATTAACCAATTTCTATTCCAAAAGTTGTTTTTCGAGGTAATTTGAGGGTGTCGAATTCAAATTTTGACATAACAGAGCGTGTGGAACCAATTTGAAAGACAAAACGGCTAGATCAAATTGTTGTTTGTTCAAATGAAAATTGTCGATCTTTCTCTTTGTATAACTCCGTCCGTTTGTTTCCACACGCTCTGTTATGTCAAAATTTCGATTCTACGCCCTAAAATTACCTAGAAAAACAACTTTTGGAATAGAAATTGGTTAATATTAGCTTTTAGGGCTTTTTTTAAAACGCGAAAAAAGGTGCGCTAATGTCCGGGTGCGCAAAAAAAAGGTCGCATTTGTCCCACTCCCAAAACACACAAATTGGAGTTGCCAAAAAGTAATTGCCAAAAAAAAAGAAAAATTGGAGGGTTACGGTAGTTTAGTGCATTTTAGTGTGGTGCGCAAAAATTCTTTCTGATTTCTGAAAAAGTCTTAAAGTTTGAAACAAAAGCCTCCTGCTTGAAGCTAAGCCATTAGATCGGGATGAAACTTTGCTCAAAGCTAGGCAATGTGTGTCTGATTATCATATTAAAAATTTACAAAAAGCTATGGTTTTCTCTTTGAGACAAAAACAAAAAGTGTTATCACCTCCTGCTTGAAGCCAAGAATTGGTACAAGCCCATTAGTTTCTATTCGAGTTTTGACAGTACGTTTCGCAAGGAAAGCGATAATTACACGCACCAGGGAGATTGTGTTTTTAAGTTGAGCGGAAAGTTGTGTGTCTAAGTTGAGCGTACACTAAATCTATCTCACTAAAGAATCAAGTCAAAGATTTCACAAAAGACTAGAAGTGATTCGAAACTTTCCTTCCAGACTCCGCGATTCCCCAGCCACTCCAATCGATTTCACTTCAACAACAAACGAAATGTACATGTTTTTCTCAACCGATCTCCTCTATACGGATATTGGTTTCGCCGGTGTTTTCTGGCCTGTATCAGCCGATAAATCAAAAGCCAAGCTCTCAAAGGGAAATCCAATCAAGGAAACCGTTCCGAAGATCTTTGATTCACCAAAAATCTCATCGCTTTTCCATTTGAGACCGGCTAGACACCTATTGATACCGTAATCCGTAATCCGTAATCCGAAATTCACCTTGTAATCAATATGTAAAAATAAAAACTCAACTTTTTATTTGTATGTGCCGTGTACATGAATGAAACGACGAGATGCACAATAAAGATTTTACGAGTTTCATTGAGACTTTTGTTCCAACCAAAAACGCAGTAGTGTCAAAAAAATAGTATCAACTAAAAATAGTAAAAGTACAGGGTGCGTCATAATTATTGCAACAAGAGTTCAAAGACCGTTTGTGATGTCAAGAATGTGATGTCATGGGCGTGTAAAGGCAATAAAAATCAAAATTGGACCTTCATGCAAGATGGAGCTTCCGCTCACACGAAGAAGACGGTTCAGGACTAGTGTGTGGCCAACTTTCCCTCAGTGATCACCAAGGATGAATGGCCTCCAAACTCACCGGATCTCAATGTGATGGACTTTTCCATTTGGGCAATTTTAGAGGCTAATGTCTGCTCTCGAAAACACACAAGTTTGGATTCTTTGAAGAAGTCTTTGACCAAAGGATGGAAGGCGATTCCTCAAGATGACATTCGGGCCGCAGTGGAGGCATATCCGAACCGATTAAGGGCTGTTATCAAGGCTGTTATCAAGGCAAAAGGCGGTCATATCGAATGATCTCTTGTTTCCTTATTTGTTACTGTTAAATAAAACTATTTCTGTTTAAAAATCTTCTTCCAGTGAAAATTCTTGGTGTGCAATGCCTTGAGTATCTTGTTGCAATAATTATGACGCACCCTGTAGTATCAACTTTAAGTATGCTAGCATGATGTCATCCCTTTGAAAAGCCTAAATGTCAAAATTTCTTTGAAAAGTGACACTCAATTATTTGAACTAAAAGCTTCAAGAATTTCTCAATCACGACGTCATTGTTAAATCCCACAAAATGCTTTTTCAAAAATGCTCTTAACTAAAAAAGAATCGAGATTGAGAATAAGCCGTTCCCGTCAATTTTTGATAAGCATTTTTGGGTCCGGTTGAGCGCACGAAAAAGGGATTGGCTTCACCGATTCTCAGCTGTAAATTCAAAGAAAAGATTTGAAGAATTGAAGAATTTTTGGGGTAAACAATTCATTTCTAACACAATAAACACAATGTTTTTCTGTGATTCTTTCAATTTATTTCTACTAATCTCTTTATTTGCTCTGATCACAGCAGCTCCAAAAGCAGCAATTTTCGATCCACGAGAACATTTTGATCCAAGGGTTTGTTTGTGTTTTTTATTGAGGAAACGAGTAACTTTTTATATGCAATTGTAATTACAGTAGTACTGTACGTAAGTTGGATATTTGTAGAGTTTACTAATTGCATTTACAAGAATAATCAACAACAAGAATAATCAACAACAACAACAACAACTAACAACTAACAACCTAGTTTTCCCCCAATAACGACAAACAACAATCTACCAATTGCAGCATCAATTGAGCCCTTCGATCACGACAAGAAATGTGACTCTTGATGGGGTTTCTGGGTACTTGACATCTCCAGAGTTCCCAAATAATTATCCGGATAACTTCAATATCATCTACTATATTTTGGTAGTGCAATAGCGTCGATTGAACGAAAATCTTCCGAAAATTTAGGCTCCTGATGGCTACTTTGTTCACATAACTTTTTACACTTTTCACACCGAACAATGCTGTGATATACTGAGGGTTTATGAGGGTGAAGAAATCGATTCGAAAAATCTCCTCAGAGAGTAGGTCAGGCAAAAGTGAGAAGAGAAATTTTAAAATGGACAACAGTTCAGATTATCTGGGAATCAAACAGGGATCGTTGTTGAATCACAAGGAAATTTGATGACTCTACAATTCGTTACCGATTTAGCCAATAGTGATATCGGTTTCTATGCGACATATCAAGCCGTATTAGGTGAGATTCGAAGGAAAGCTTTGATTAAGATATTTTTCTCCAACCAAATAAGCATTCTCTTCACGAATATACAATGCAAATCGGTCAAATTTTTTTTATTTAGGAGATACAAAATTCTCGCCAACTCGCACTTGTCCGCCCACTCCATTCAATGATTATGATTCAACAAATTATACATATGGAATTGATACGACACCAGCATGGCCCTATCCTTATACAAATAATGCAAATTGTCAGTATTGGTTGAAAGTTTCAACTGGACGAAAGGTGAGTCAAATTTAGATGCAAAACTAATGCCTAATCGACTTAAAACCATTTCCTTCCCCTCTAACCAATTGACGCATGTATAACGTGTTAGATCAAATTGATCATCGAATCGTTTTGGACGGAAAAATGTTGCGATTTTCTCTATATCTACGAAGGCTATGACACAAGAGGACCTTTACTTGCTACGTTTGTTCAATTCTTAATCAAATAGAAAAGGGCTTTTAGTCTTTCCGGTTCTTATGAAGAATTACCACAGCACACTATCATGGTAGAGACAAATGTAGTTTTTATGGTTTTCTCGTCGGATTTGGAGAATAATGGACCCGGTTTTTCCATACTTTTTGAAGAGGCTATATGAAATGTATAGTAGATAATAAATTTAATTTATTTTTGCAAAAACAAAACAATTAGTAAAGTATAAGGAATGTTAACCCGATAAAGCTCCGTCCCTGAACAACTCGAATTCGTCTTCGTACAACACCGCCATACCTTGGATAACAAAGCTGAAGTGTACCCGAGTGGTGTCCTTTCGTGTGAAGAAATGCTCTCTGTGCATGGTGAACATGTGAACATAGTACCTAAAAACTAGATTTTCCACGAAAATATCCTTTTTCTACAAATTTCTGAAAAAAGTTAACAAACCTGGATGGATGGGAGAAACGAATATTACATTTGTTACATGAAGGATGATCAACCAGTGGTGTTTCTTTAATCTAAAAAACGTTTAGATATACAGCAAAAAGCACAGATATACTCACAAAGCGGTCGTCTGCATAGTACTTCATCTTAACTTGGTCGATGTTCATATTATGAGATAAAATATCTAAAATTTGTGAATGAAATAACCCCTAACAAAGTCAATAAATCCATCAACTTACTGTGATTGATTAAAGAAAGTTTGTTTGGAAAATCGATGCTGCATTTGTCGCATTGAAGCTTTTGAGAACTCTAAAATAATATTTGTAATATTAACATATTTTAAAATATACGTTTTCCATTGATACATCTTCTAGCAAGGCAGTCATGATTGAAGCCACTTCAGCTTTGATTTTACAGGTTAGTAGTCCATCGGCAACAACAAAAGACTCTTTAACTTCATCAGTGGGTGGAATTTGATTGAAAGAGCTTGATGATGGCGATGGTTGGTCAAGAAGAATGGTCGGTAAAGGCATTTGGACTGAAGGTGATTGAGAAGCCTAAACAAATATGTACAACGTTCAAAGAGCAAATCACGGTGACTAGTGCTAACATTTGCAATAACCCTTAAACTACTTGCCAACCTATTACAAAACTAGAGTAATTTGCTTCTCAACATACAGTCTTTTTAGAGAAAATGCGAAAATATAAACCCGAAAGACGTCGAGAAAGAGAGAGCCCGAGTAAAAATGCTATTTGTCGAATCAATCCAAAAGAATTAAAGCAAATTTTACCCACAATTCTTATCCCAACAGACCTACAAAGATAAAATTTATCAGAGCTGATCAAACAAAGAGACAAAGTAAAAACAACCCAATAAAGAAGTAGGTATTAATAAAGTACCCGCGGAACTTGGTTTGCAGCAGGTGACATTGATTTTTCGGTCATTTCTAACTCGCGGTCGATTAACTTTTCTTTCTTTACAGAACAGAGCTTTGATTTTACTGAAGTTGATGCATGGCGTTTTCGGGTTGCAGAGACCTAAAATATGCGTTGATGCACCAGATTCTTTTGTGTCCCAATTATAATTACTTTACAAAAGTTCGTAAATAGCTCAAACGTACCACACTATTTTCCTCTTGCACTCCACTCGATCCACTATCAGGCTCAATCAATTGATCTTGCTTCTCAGCCATTTCAGACTTGTTCTTGTCTTCAAAAGTCACATTTGAGCAAAATTATAAAAGTACCTTCTTTTCTGTGTTTTGAGACAAGTGGTCGCTTAACTGAGGTCGTCGAGGCACGATCCTGAAGTTTGCATTTCCAAGAAGTTTTTCGAGACAAACCATTTCCTGGAAAAGTACAGGCGAGATTATCATCTGTGGCTCCTTCTTAATGAACATTGGCTTCGCACTATTTCCTACCTAAAACTATGTAATTATTAAATTAATTAATTAAAATAAATGTTTAAATTACCTTTTGATTTTCCAATTTTACTTTGCTAAGATCCATTTCAGATAGTTTCTCCCTCTTCACTGTTTTCTTTTCGGTATCTAAATGAAAGATTCTCGATCTCTCAAGAAAACATTACCCCCACTCTTGCTCTTAGTAATTGATTGACGACGGCTTGGGATCTTTTCCTAAAGAAACAATTTCCTAAAGAAACAACAAAAAGTTTTCAAAGTTACTGTTGCAATTTCTTGAGCAGAGGCTTTTCTCGAAATGGGCTCTTCTTGGACGGACCTCTGGCGATTTTTCTCCCTTTGAGTCATTCGCTAAAGAAACAAGAAAATCCATTTTGACTCGATGTCTCACTTCATTTTTAATCTCCTCTTCGTAGAGTTGTTCCGCCAGGCTGGCCCATTGATGATCGACGATGTGTCTCTAAATCAATTCATGTCCTTGGGTAGGTTCAGTGAATCCTACGATCCCCATTTTATCATCGAAAAGTTTTACCTGATAGTCTGATTGAATGTAGTAGGTATCGCCGCACAAATAGCACATAAAGTAGCGAAGTGTCGTTGGATCGACTCGAGTGTTCAAAGGTGTTCTAAACAAGAAAGACGATCAATTTCTAATCAAACACTTACAATTTACTTTCATCGACCATACTTACACGTACGGAAAGTTGAAATTTCTAAATTGCATCAAATTTAACCCTTTTAAAAAAAGAAAAGTGGAAATTTTACGGGAACAATAAACTTTCATCAAGACTTTAACACAAAGCGTTTTGCCTTTATAAAAAAATCGAGCAGTAAAAATATTCAGCTTAGAAACATCCTTTTGTTTGGGGAGCTGCCACAGCAAAAGAGCAACAGCGCCACAGCAAAAGAGCAACAGCGCCACAGCAAAAGAGCCCCGCGCAGTTAAGTTTCTATGTGTTTCCTTATTCTTATTGAATGCAAAAGAAAATTATCTACATTTTATATACTTTGAGATCACTTAAAGCAGAATTGGTGTCGAGAAAAGCTCAGTCAACCTCTTTTTGAACCCTTTTTCGTTTTTTTGGCATTTTCTCATCTCATATTTGTTCTAAACGGCTCCAAAAAATTCTACAGATAGCTAATTTTTTTCTACAACGAATGAAAATAGGAAACACAAATAAACTTAACCGCAAATACATTATTTTGGCCGGCGCTGTTTTGACCAGCTCCCTTTGTAGAGATTTTACAATCCCGTTTTTCATTTCATTTTTTCCACCACCTACGCCGTACGTCTTTTGACGCTGAGCTCCATTAGGCGCGCTTTCCAAACATTTGAATAGCTGCTAAATTTTTTCGTTAACGGGCATCAATTTTGTTTTTCTGGCCCATTTTATTCTTTTTGGTACTAGTATAATGTACGGACCTCACTTTATTTTTTGATGTGTGTTTTTCCAGAGGTAATTGATACGCTGATCACGAATTGCTTGGTTAGAAGTTAAGAAAATGGGCTTTAGACCACCCCTCTGTGGTCACAAAACGCATTTTCCTAATTTCTAACCAAGCAATTCATGACCAGCGTATCAGTTATCTCTGGAAAAAACACACCAAAAAATAAAGTGAGGTTCGTACACTATACTAGTATATTCTTTTTATCCCGTGACTTTGAATTTGAATTTGAGGTTTGGCTTTGAAACAAAACAACTTTTTATTCAGAATGGACGATGTCATTGAAGAGATTCAAAATCTCTTTAACCTGGCTGCAATCAGTGAATCGATTGCAAATGATTGGTAGGTTTTTGTTTGCTAATTTGGAGGTTAAACTAATTTTTAGGGCCGGAAGCAACTACTTGGATTTCAACGAAGTCGATCCTCCTGAAGCTTTAACTGATGGAACTTGTTTGGACTGCCTACAACTTGGTTTATTTAGTATTCTTATCCTATCGAACATTGGCTTTTAGTTCAACAAGAGCTGCAAAAGGCTGATCTTAAAGATGGCCCGGCTTTCTGGAAACGATTGGTGGAGGCCGAGGTAGCGCCGGTGGGATTGGTTGGATTTCTATGGGCCCTTATTGAAGTCGCATTGAAGAAAGACAGGTGAGTGTAAAAATTTTAATAGTGTACCTTTTCACATGGTTCAGCAATTTGGAACAAGTGAAATGTGGTGCTTTCGCTTCTTCGATCTACATGAAACTCTGTACTGTAAATGGCGCAAGCATTTACAAATTCTACCAGCAATCTATTGTACAGGTGAACTCTATCGTTACTTTAATTTTACTAGTACGTCTAGAAAGTCCTCGATATCTGGCGATTGGCTCTACGCGTGGTTTTATATGGAGTAAGAAACGTCCAGATTACCGAGAAGACTCAAAGGAGGAATAAGAAGTCGAAAAAAGTGGAATGCAACGGTGTGCAATTTGTTCGTTAAGACTTTTATGGATTCTTTAGATGAAGCTCCAGACGCGTGTTTGCCACAACAAGACATGCTACGGATTCTGAACAAATCTACAAACGATTTGTATATATTTCTCAACACGTGAGCACTAGTTATTTAAACGACATTTAAATTTCCTTTTAGAATTCCTCTTGCTGATCAGCCGGAGATTGCCATTCACACTGCTCGCTACATTTCCGATCTAGCGGAATTGGATCATTTTGAAAAGGAAATAAGCTATAAGGTACAGTTTTAAAGAGATTTATGCAACCCAGGCTTTAGGTAGTGGATGGACTTGACGAGTTTGCGAACTTAAAGTTGTATTGTGAGCGCTCTTTGGCTCTCTGTCATATACTGGCTCATGGGCGACATTCAGCTGATTGTTCATTGGTGACTAAAGTGAATATTTTGCATAATTCAGTTTAGATTTACGAGCGCATTGTACAGCCTCGTCTTCTGCTCTGGTCATGGCAAAATACTGCATACGGAGGCGCCGCTAGGTACTTCAAAAATTATTTCTTTTTAATCAGAATTTTAGCATGCCAACGTCACTTATTCATTTTGGTGAAGTTATGTTGCGCTTTGTGGAACAACGCATTGCTGTGGCCGACGAAAAAGAATTGAAAATCATTGATGAGGTGGATACTTGGGATTTCTTTTTTACCGCTATGTTTTTAGTTAATTTATGCTCTTATCGTTCGGTGTCCCGATCGTGCCGAATATCGCGCTCGTGTTCCACATACGATCATCTCTCTCATTAAAATCATGCCACAAAACAGACATTATGTCAGTACAAATTCAATAACATATACCAGATTGTTTTAGAATTTTCGATTCACTCTTTGGGACTTGGCCACTCGAAATAATTCAATGGCAACAGTTGTGGAGCTTAGTATTTTGATGATCAAGGAATTTGGTAATTTTTCTTTTATTAACAATACAACAGCCTCATTAGATTGGAATATCCCGGACCCATACACTGAAGAGCTCGCAAATGCAAATAAAAATAAGCAACAATCTCATGAAAACAACGCAATTAAAGAAGAGTTGGAAAGTGACGAAGAAGGCGTCGATATGGATAGGACCCGGAAACGGAAAGACAAGAAAAGGAAACAAAAGGAGCGCGATGCTTTGCACAATTCAACGGTACTTCATCTATCCGTGATATTATGCATTACTTGGTTTAATTTAGTTGGCAGATGAAACTCACACAGGAACAAGGGCTGTTGAAAAGGCAAAGAAGGCCTTCGAATTGCCCTACTTTCCAAAAGGAAAGGCGGTATTTTCTTAACCTTTTATTTATAGATATTTTATTTGTAGCTTCTCTATCGCATTCTTATTGGAGCAATTGTGCATTCATCATCAACAATTCGAGCGAGAGCATTGTGTTTAGTTGCTGAGCTATTACAAAACAAGGACCACGTAGACTTTGTGAAAGATGCTGCTTTTGATTTGGTTTGAAGGATTCCTTATCAGCGCAATTTTATCAATCTAGATCTTCTCTTATAACTACGCCGAGGATATTGTTTTTGACGAAGGAGCTCGACCAAGCGCTAACCCAACCGCCATTGATCGACTTTTCCCAATTTTGACAATGTGCTGCAGGGACGAAAAGGTATCACAACGTTTGTTTTATTCAATACAAAATTTCCGGAAACAAGTTTTGCATTGTTGAGGATCGGTCACTAAGCTTCTTTGCCACCTTCACCGCCATCTTTTTCGTCTTTCTTGCTATTCTTCTAAAGTTTAAATATATAGAGTGACTTGTAATAAACAATAACTTTGTCTCCCTTCTCTTCTTTCTTTTCCTCCTTTTTCTCTTCCTTCTCCTTCTTGTCCTCCTTCTCGGGCCTCTTCTCTCCATCTCCATCTGTCGACTTTTTCTCTTTAACCTTCACTTCCTAAAGTAAACAGTGACCAGATTGTAGAATAGGAACTCACATTTTTCACAATAACGGCTTCCGTCCCTTTTTCCAACGCTTTATCCATTCCGGGAAGGGCCGATTTGCTAAAAGCATAATGTGTGATAGTACAACGCTCATAGAGCATACCCAATGCATTTGACGACGAGCACATTTTGTTTCACATCAGCCTTCTTGAAGACCTCCTCGGCTTTCTTGTCCTTTTCTTCAGCCTAAATAAAGACATTGTTGAAACTGAAGCGCTACGTTTACCGTTGCCCATACGACTTCGATCTTATCAGGTTTTGGTAGTCCGGCTGTCCTGCTGACTTTAACTATGGCACTTCCACCCTCTTCTACGAAGGCGAAAGCAGGGTCGAAACTAAATTAACTTTAGCAAAAGTGAATGAAATGAACTCACGAGAAGAGATTATTGTCGGAGCTCTTGACTTTGATAGCGATCCTATCTCCAGAAGCGTTCTTGATGATGATTTCTTGATCGTTGGGAAAATCCGACCACTTGAGCTCCTCGGGTGTGATGACGACACCGTCTGCCCCTTTTCCTCCACCCCCACCATCTTTTTTTTTGCACTTTTGTTATCGGCTTCCTTCTTGCTCCCTAAATTAAAAAAAAATTGGATAAATCAAAAGTAAAAGCATTCACCTTCTTTCTTCTCGCCCTCGCCTTCCTTCTTTTCATCAACATCCTTTAAACAAAATGTATTACTTAAAACATATAAAACATTACTTTCTTCTCGCCTTCGCCCTCTTTTTTCTCACCTTCTCTCTCTTTCTTCTCGCCGGCAGCCGCCTTAGCTTCTCCCTCCTAACCAAAAATTACCAAACAGAAAAACGTCTTCAACCTTTTTCTCGGACATCGCCTCCAGCCTCTTTGGTTTGCTCTTGTGTTTTGTCATCTTGTTTGGGAGGATCAGGTGCCGGTAGTGAGGCTGGGGGTGCAGCTGGCTTGGCCTAAATTCAACGTTTCAAAAAGCGAGCATTAGAAACCGCAGGAATAGGAGGAGTCGCAGTTTTCTTTTTGGAACCCTTGCACGCCATAAGGCTCATCAGCATAATCGTCGCCGCGAAACAAGTTTCAAAAACGATCGACAACATCTAAAAACTTACAAGGGAAAGGTTGCCAGGTTGAAGTTCAAAAACGACAAAAGCGACCGGATGGCGTAGCGGATAGTGTGCCCGCGCTTCAGATTGTTTAACCCTGGTGCGATTCCCCTCGTGGTCAAATCCTTTTTTGCTTTTTGTTAAGCCACAAAACCCATTATTATGTATTCTAAAGTGTCATTAATAAGCCTTTAAAAGATGTTGGAGGTTAATTGGAAATGGTTGTAGCTACCATGAAATATACTTTTACGTAGTGCACTTTTACGATTGAAACTATTCAGAAAACCTCAAAAACCTGAAAAATTTAAAACCATCTTTCGACATTTTTCGCACTAGGACAGTCTCGATTTTCCTATGTAACTTTTTGAGAAATACAAAAGCTCGTCGAGACGGAGCCAAATTCTCTTTTAATTTTCGAAGAGGGGAATCGAACCAGGGCTAAAAAGTTCGAAGCGCGGACACACTATCCGCTACGCAATTGGTTGTTTTTTGAGAAACACAAGAGAAGCCTCAAATGCTCGTCGAAACGAAGCCGAATTTTCTTTTGCCTGTTTCTACGTTTTAAGCCCACGGGGGAGGAGTTATTTACATATTTGGAATCAGTGTCAAAATCTCTCCAAGTTACACCTGGGCTCGTGTCGTTTTCAAACTTCAACCTGGCAACCTTCCCTTACTAGTAACTAACTAGTAAGAAACAATATAATGGCAACAGGCAATTACCAATAGTTTAATGTACAAAAATTGCAGAAAAAAAAGTACGGAAAGAAGCTAACGTAAAAACTTACTTCGTCGAATAGTCGATCCTTGAATGTTGAAAAATGTATGTGGCTGAGATTTACCCTCGGTTTATATTCGACGCGTAAATGCTAATTTTTCTATTTAAAATTTAAATTTACGGTAATATGCAAACTAGATTATTCTAATTTTTTTGATTTAGACACAAGTTCGAAAATCGGCGGTTTTGTGTTTGGAGAAGTATTTGCCATATGTGGCCGAGGCGGATTTTTCAGCAGCTATTGAGATTCTCAAGGTATCATTCAAAGTTTTATGAGATGAACTTAGTTTAGCGTTTGTGTCTTGATGAATCACATGTTGTTCGAAAACAAGCAGCAGATGCGATTACTTGTCTTTTGAGTGGGATTGATGAAGGCTCAGATCGATGGTTTCTTTAAACTGCTAAACTATTTATAAACTGTGCACAATTTAGGCATATTGTGGCAAATTCTTGGATCCTCAACGTTTTCCCACTAATTGGCGATTCGGATGCAACTGTTGCGGAACTCGTTGCAAAACTTGTTTTGGTATTTACTAATAACAAGTAGTTAATAGTGACTACTTTTCAGGAATTAGTTTTAAACCCATTGATTGAAGCCTCGATGGGTAACGTGCAAGTGCGAGGACTAGCTGCTGAAATTTTGAAAAGGATTTATCCTGGATCAAGCAGTCGCTCTGAATTCATTCGTGCTCTAAGAGGTTGTCTTAGCGGCTTTAACACCGTTAACTTGTTCCGTTTAGAACAGGCTTCTCACAATCGACTTAACTCGATCATAGTCAACAATGTTCAAAGACAGTTGGAAAATAGCACTTCGGAGGAAGATACGAGTGAATTGTGGACCCTTTTTGAATGTCTCGTTGTGGTGTTTCCGGTAGGACGCTTGCTACTATTCTTTTTAAAAAACTGTTTTAGGACAAAATCGATTCGAAACTTGTGTTCAACAAGTGGTTTTCATTCACTCATCCACCACGACCACTTATGATGAAAAACGATTGGATTCCGACGCCGACGATTCCTTATGGGAAAACGGTACTATTATTTCCATATAAACATTGCAAATGTTTAGGCATCACTGCTACTCAGCATTATTCGACTCATAAAGAAGAAATTTTCTGCCGACGAGCGAAGACTGTTATGTACGAACCTTGAGGAACATTTGAATGGATACACGTCTGTGACTTTCTTTACTGTACTATTATCATTGCTTTCAGGGTACCAACTGATCTTATCAATGAAGTTTGGTTGACGTTGGCTACGTTGGCTGACCACCAGAAAAGCGGTGATATTAAACACGAATCACCTGAATTACAATTGTACGTTTAAGAGGTCAATGCTTAAGAGGTTTTACGGTTTTCTTCAGGTTTGCTTCGAGGACGTATCGTTTTGCTCTTCAAGTGATCAAGAACATATGGAAGGCATCTTGCATAGAAGAACAATTGACATTTTTGAAATATCAAGTCGAAGAACAAGCGTTTGTTGTTTCAATTATTCTTTGTACTAGAACTTTAGAGAAACGTTTTTGGTTCGCATGCTGATTGGTACGGGTTATGCTGCACAATATAATTTGGATGTCATTTATTTGCTGGATCAAGGTTAAAATAATAAATAATGCTTTAAAGTATAGATTTAGATGAAATTGATGATATACGAGAAGAGCCGCTCTTGATCTCATTCCTTCTCAAGATCACGACCGATTCTCTTTCTGATCTACGTTTTCGACTAAAGGAGAGTCGAAAGAATATTAAAGTGGTTAAATTCCTGTAGCTAAAATAGTAGTTTGTGTTTAGCTTGACAAAGGGCGGCATCCATTTGGTCTTCCAACGAAAAGGAATGGGAAATGGGCTCCAGAGTCAGACTGGTTGAAGCAACGGCTTGTTCATTCCGGTATTACTCAATTAGTTTTATAATAACCGAATTTGAACTTAGATGTGGTGAGCAATTTTCCAATGAAGAAGTTCTCCGATGGGATTCGTGCAGCTGCCGCGATCGCTATTGGAACACATTGTATTTTTGTGAGTTTATAGCAGATAAACGAATTAATATTGATTGATACAGGATGGAGAGCTGACTAAAGAGTTTCTACCAGAACTTATCAATGAACTACAAGCCAGTTCATCTGCTGCCGTCCGGGCTAATTTGCTGGTCCCATGTTGTGATATGGTTAAAAGGTAAGTACATAGAGTTTGTTCGGTCAATCCACAATTTAGGTTTGCGGCAACAGACATTCAAGGATTACCGGATGCGTTGGCTATTGTTCTGTTGGATCCTCATCCACACATTCGGTAATATTTGGTTTCATGGTAATGATGTGATGATAATAAGTAAATTTCAGCGCTCAATGTCTCCAAATGATGGCTCATCTTATCAAAGAACAATTTGTTAAATGGGAAGGATTGGTTGGGGTTTCGATACATTTTAGGAACTACGTACCTTCAGATAATGCATTTGTATACAATCATGTGCATCGATGATAGTCCAGAAACCGCCAGCTTTGCTCAAAGTTCTTTTCAGGTAAATAACCCAGCCATATTATTTTAGTTTCCGAGATTTAGAATGCTCTGTTGCCTATAATGGATGACATGCTCTACTCAAACTTTATGGAGTTTTTACTATTCTACAACAATGCCCCTTACACTTGGGATGAAGGTTTGGTTATGTTAATTAAATTTTACGGAGGATTTAGAGCAAGGACTTGTTAACGCAGCTCGGCGGCGTATTCGAGTAGACGGCTACGGAAGCGATGCATCGAGGTTTATTTGGCGGCAAACGATCCTCCGATTTATTGTATGCTTTATTATTTATCATGCAAAATTGCTTTTTAAGTTGTCAACATTTACCGATTTTCAAAGATTTGGAACAATGGTTCGCATGTGTAACGATATCATCATGCAGATTGCTAAAGGAGGCTCGGACATCACGGTTAGTCGATTACTTCTTTTAACTTTTAAGTGCCATTTAGGACTACACAATTTCAAATCTTGTAAACGATTGTCTGGAACTAATGTCGTGTAAGCATTATAAATCATTTTACTGAAACAAATTTGTATTTAGGTGATGAGATGTCGTTTTCCTATACATTAGGCAAAAAGACAGGTGCGGATGGTGGAGATCCCGATGACGAGCCCAATGATGCTATTCATGTAAAAAGCTAAACAGATTAACTCGCTTATTACGCTAAATTGATAGTTCCAAGCATGAGACTCTCATTTATAATATGGTCTGTTACTTTAGGCAAAAGCTACTGAAGCTCTAATGACGGCGTATCGAAATGGATTACAACAAAAAATTTTGCCTGTGCTTTTTGATGTTTTGTTTATTTTCGAAAAAAAGCGTTTGGGAGCATTTGCAAGAAAAACATTGTTCACGATCGAGTAGGTTAAACTCTTCGTCTCCATTAGATAGAGTTTTAGGCTTCTTTGCAAGGATCACATCGAACACGTCGACACAATGATTATGGCACTTTGTCCAGGAAGAGCAAAGCAAATACTGCAGGAAATGACGGATCCAAAAGTAAGTGAGCAAAGTTAGAACCTTTTGATTTTAAGAAATTCAGGGTCTTGTACAAAAAGAGCTTGCTTTGAGAAAGCGTGATGAGGAACGAGATCGTGAAGCGGATCTACAATTGTTACTGGCAAATCTTCAAAGTGGGTTAATGACTAGCTGAAAATATGCTTTGACTTAGATAAAAATGTCCCACCAACCACTCCGTTTGCTCTGAGAACACCGAGGGTTAAGCGAGCAACGATGATGCATGGTGCAATGGGTGTGTTTTATTTTATTTATTTTGTATTTGCACTTTAGTGGAAGAACCGGTGAATCAAACCTTTGCGACCCAACAAATCAAAGAAGAAGAAGAAGAAAATGTAAGCTTCAACAAAAGTAATTACTAATTTTAAAACAAGTATAGCGTCCGAACTTGACCAGTACACCATTGCAAACAGCCCTCCGACCGACGGCACCGTTGAAAGCCGTATGTTTCTATTATTTTAGTCGACTTTGCAATATTTTAGTTGACGATTGCCGCAATTCGAAACGACAATCTCCGATTTGTAGTGGACGCATTGACACCAAAATCTAAACAAAGGCAAGAACAGGTTCGGTTGTTGATTTTCTTTGAAATGTGTAAATTAATTTATTTCCTCAAGGCAGTTCCCACTCCGGTTCAACCATCTTTTGCCGCAAATCTTGCAAACATTGACGAAGATGAGTCCGACGAGCTTCCTACAATCATTCCCCCCCGAAGATTTTCAGTTGTCACTAGTCCGGTTGGCTTTTCGTGTGACTGGAATATATATTTATCATTTAGAAAACAACTGCTACGAAAGAGGAAACAATGGACAGTTTAGCAACAGCTCTTGCCGGTAAGTCATGCTCCATTAAACTAATGTCAGATTTTAGCCACAAATACGTCACCAGATAATGAGCCGATGGAGGAAGCTATTGAAAGTTCGACCAAGAAATCTGGTGGCGATGACTCGATTAGCTCGCGTTTAAAGTCAAGGTTTATTTCAGCTCAGTTGTTAATTGCTTTACCCTATTGCAGGAAGCGCCGATCATTGAACCAGAGTAGTGCTAAAGTCGAACAGACAAAAGAGCCCAATCTTTCCACTGATCAGGTAGATCAAGAAGTTTGTAATACAGAAGAAATTATATTTTTTGTAGGCCTCCACGTCAGTGTTGGAAGTTTCGGCAACTGAGCAAAGGCAATCGAGAAGGAAATCATCAATTAATGTGAATGTGATATAACGCTAGTTTTCAAAAAAATACGATGTTTTTTAGCCAATTGTCACGATACGAAAAGTACCACTGAAGGGCGAAACTGGGGAAGAAAAAGAAAATGAGGTTGGATCCAACCTACCAGTGCAACAACCAACTCTCAACATTATGGTATTTATTTTTTTAATTCTACGCAAGTTTTCATCTAGAATGACGAAACGATGATCGGTGGACGAGCTTTTTCTACGCCAAATAAAGATCCAAATGCCATGGAATTGACATTTGCAGGACTTGATTTTAGTGTGATCGCGAAAGAGCCAGGTAAATTCTAGTTTTTACTTGCCATTACCGAAGCGCTTATAGTTTAAATATTCGCTCAATTTAAATTTTTACAACTCTATTAGTTTAGGAACTGCTCGCACACGACGAGTGAGACCATCGACTTCTGAGCAAAACGATTAAATTAACTTATTTTTGTTCTTTTTGATTTTCACAAACTCTTCCTGTTTATGTTAATGTTTTCTTAATGTTTTTTTATACTCGTATTTGTTTCCATTTTTATAGTTACTATATTTTCTGAAATAAAGTTTGCTTTAACTTTGGGGAATCAAAAAAGCAGAGTTCGGATCAATGCTTTGGAGAAATGAATGGCTACTTTGTGTCAAGTGCACTGTTTGGGAAATTGATTAGTCGTTGGAAAACGTGATAAGTGTGGCTTTTTCGTGCACTTTGCCTAGACTGTCTCATTTTTTGTTTTTCTTGGTTATGTTCGGGACAATTGGTGATACCTAACTATACGTTTCCAATTGGTTGTTTCTTTTGTAAATCTTATTCTGCCTAGGCCATTGATGAAGTTCATTATAAACAGGTTTTAATACATTTTTAAAATGCTTTGTGTGACTCCTCTTGTTTTGAGAGGAAGGGGAGCAAAACTGAGTGGAGACTCCTCCCACAAAGAGAAGATCCCAGGCATGCAAAATGCCTTCACCACTGCCCCCCCCCCCTCCCTTTCGCACCCCTCCCTCTGGCCCCTATCAATTATTGCATTTTTGCCCTCTTTGGTCTCTCTTCTACTGTCTTTTACAACAAAGGAATCGAAGAAAATCCCCTTCTGCTGACTTTTCGACCGGAATTCGCTAATTCTTTTTGTTTTCGAGATTCACTTCTCTCAAATATTTTTTTTAAAACATGCACAATGTAATTTTGTACGCTATTGCTTTCACGATATTAATATGTATAACAATTTTTGAGGTTTGAACACTACAGAATCCCCGAAAAAGATTTATGATCTTGATTTTTTAGATGAGCGAGTTGATAGTTGATGCAACGAAAAATCAGTTGACAGTTAGGGTGAGTATAAAGTGCTTAAAATGTTTCCAAAGAATTGAATGTGGGAGAATTTCTTAAAAAGTGAACTTTGAATTGAGAGAAATGATCGGATCTCACTAAGAGTTCGACGAAAAAAATCCCTCTTTGGGCTGATTTTCTCTTGAAAAAGAGAAATACCCTAGACAATGAAGATACCAAGGTTTTGATTATTGACTCTTTTTATCGAAATGTCAGTGATTTCTTTCATGAAAAAACTCATTTGGCCATTGATTTATTTGGGGGCTAAAGTGTTACATTTTCTAAATTGGTTGAGGTTTCTAAAACGGCGACCTTTAAAGGTTGGTTTGAGATCATTATGTAGTCTTTAAAGTATCAACATTGTTTTAAAAATACATTTCAATATTTAGACAATAGCAATCGCTCTGGGAAGTGCGGCAACGTTGGGTGTTTTGATTTTCGCTTATCGGAATCAGATTAAACGAAAAGTGGCCGACTTGGAATATGGATCACATGGAGAAAAAGAAATACAAAGATTGAGGTAAGGGAAAAAAACGTGAGAGGCTAAAATTGGCTAGCAAAAACTCCAAAAGTTTTGATTTCAGTTTTGCATGAATTCAATATTCTAGAGCCGATCTTGATCTTCTGCGATCAGAAGTCGAAGAATTACGAGAACAATTCTCACGTGGTAGAACGGTCACTTTTTCGAGAAGTAGCGGTCAGTTTGGGAGTAAATGTGAGTCAGTTAACAAAGTAAAAGCATACCCAAATGATTGACCCTTTCAATAAAGTTGATGGGGTGCTGAAGTCCGAGCCTCGACAGACCCATGTTTGTTGTGTGTTCAGGGAATTAGGGGCCCCCATTCGCCATCCATTCTATAGCTCATACTATGGATTTTTTTTCTTGGAAATTTTTACGAAAATCACTGTGTTTTTGAATGGGAGCAAAACAGTCAACTTGTTTCGGTAAGAATTTTTTAAAATTTGCATATTTTTAAATCATCCCCTTTCCCCTATTTTATCATTTTCCAATGTGCATTCGGCTGAGGAAAATTGAACGTTTGGTTTAATTTAAGTTTTTTAAGTATATTTAAGTTTAAGTTGTTTTTAAGTCCAATTTGTTTTATTGAAGTTTGTTTTTGTTTTTTTTTTTCAGCAAATATGTTTTTCGATTTTCAGCTTGCCTAAAGCAAACGGGTGCCGGTGGTGGACGATCGTTGAGTCCGGGACGACGATCAGTCACTTCAGATGAAGAATATTACACAGATGCCGATGATGACTGGTAAGAGAGTTTTGTTCTTTTTAAGTCAACGTGACATTTAAAAATTTTATTGCTTCCTTGAATCGTTTTTCATTTTCGAGAAATTCTTTTCAAAAACTGTTGCCAAAGCGCCTCTTTGATTAGACTAAAATTAAAGACCGATAAATTTGCATTAGCTCGAAATTTACATCTAAAAGTTTGGTTTCTTCCTTGAACCTTTTTCATTTTCATTCTTGTGAAATTTGAGATGACTGGATCGTAAGTTTTTCGTTTTATCTTGCGCTCCAAAAATAAAATGCTAGTTTTAAGCCTATAATTGTAGTATTGTGATATACATATTGTAGTAAAGCTAACTGCATTAATTTTTCTATTTTAGGGAAACTCCACAAGCGCCTCGACAAACGAATGGGGCCGCCGTTGTGCCAGCGAGCGACTCAAAGGAACAGGTGATAGCCTTTTTTTTGATTACTAGATCGTTAAAATAAACTTGTAAGTGAGCATTAAGACTTTTTTTTTCTGTGTCCAATCTTTTAAAAAGTTTCGCCAGATCACTTTTTTCAGTGATACATTTTGTTTCTTTTAACGATTCGCCAGTTTCTCAGCCCCCTTACCTTTCCGCTATTCGATTTGTCTAACCTAAATGTTCTAAATGTGAGTGGGGTAACCCCCATTTTCTCCCTTTTCTTTCCCGATCACCAAATCCATTCTTGAACTTGTCTCTCTAGTAAAAAGGCGGGTTGACGACAAGACAAGAAAGGTTCGTCAAATCCCTCTCAAAAATTTTCGCTCTTTGAAATTTCGTCAAATTGGGTTACCTCATTCGTGAGATGTTGGGTGTTTTGACTCGAAATCCATTAAACGAACGTGATATCAGCTACAAGATCACAAATCTACAAAAAAACGGGGATCCAAAGAACAAAGGCCATCATAATTTGTCATGCAAACTTGCTAAACCATTACTGAAATTTGCCCGCTGCTTTCAAATTTATCTCCTTCCCCTGAACCCAAAAAGTTTTATAAACTCATCAAATTATTGTTCTTGTTGGAGTTTTGTTTGTCTCAATCAGATTTTTTTCACACATCCACCCACTTGCTTCCAAAAATCAGGCTACATAGGGACAGGTTTTTGGCGGAAAAAATCACAGTCTGACCTTGAACGTGTGTTTTTATTAGAAAAGGGCCCAGAGTGAAAAATTTGACTCAAAGTGAAAACGGGGAGATTGAAAAGATTGTATCGTTTCCCTTCGATCCTCACAAAAATTTCTCTAGTTTTTTCTTGCGCAAAAACACGTAAAATTGTAAAATAGAAACGGCACAGAGGTGTCGTTCTGACTGGGGTTGAGGAATTTATAAAAAGTTAAATTTCCATGCAGTTTTAAACCGTGCCACTTATTTCAATCAATCAATAGTGCCACATTAGTCACCGACTTTCTCCGGAATGATAAACAAAAATTGTTTGTATTTGATCGTTTTTCGCAGCGATGTCTATGAATTTGTTGCGAAACGGCCTCAAATTTCTCGCTTTGTAATTTTTGCAATGGGAATATCGAAAATATCAATGAAATTTTATCAGTAGCAGTCATAAAAAGTTTGTGGGTTCAAGGAGTTTAAAAAGAAATAATTATTCACAGAAGACAAAAAACATACACAATTGTTTGGTGACAGCAGGTGATTCAGACAGACAAACGACTAACATCTTTCTTTTTTCGCCTTTTCCCTCCTTTTCCCTTTCTTTTCACCATGGAGATCTCACCAAACCACTTCAATCGGCTACATAGTTCTTACGTTAGATATTCAGTTGTTATTTGAAGTTTTATCAAATGAAACTTGGAATTACGGTTAGAAATCTTTGACAATGCTAATGGCTTTGTTTTTAGATATTTGCCCATTTGGATCAGCTCTTTGAGAGTCTTCAAGGAGCCGATGAACAATATGATACGTTAAAGAAGGTATGTATTCGTTGTAGAAAGGGATATGACCGTTTTAGTTTAAAAATTCATCTTTACTTTTTTTTTTTAGATGGACAACGAGACTCCCGACGATCCTCGTGTGTTGTGGCGATTGGCTCGAGCCTGTCAAATGCAAAGTGGCCAATTTGAAAAGAAGGATCCACGAAAGAAGGAAAAACTTCTCGAAGGTATTTTTTTTTTTGCTTTATTCTTGTACAGGGTGGTCGGAAAGTTCTGTTATTTTTGAAAGCGGCGCCGCTAAATTCTGGTTCAGGAAAGACAAAGACGATCAAATTTTAATCGACTGATTTAGGTCGCGAGTATGGTCAAAGGGCATGTGTTTTGGCTCCCAATGAATTTGAGGTATCTTTCATTGATTTTCTTTTGATGTTTGACACTAGTTTTATCTAGAAAACATCTAGAAAAAAGATTCTAAAAATTTCCTTTGTTTAGGCGATTAAATGGGCGGCTGGTTTGACTGGAAGTGTCACCGATTATTTGCCAACAAAGGAGCGAATCGAGCAGGGAAAAGTTTTTGAGGTTTGGTTTAGTCTTTTTTCATTTTCAATCATTTTTAACAACTAAATCTTTGTTTACTTTTTAGAACTATTTGGATCGAGGCTTGGAAATTAATCCTCGAGATTTCACAATTCTCCATATGCGTGGTCGCTTCCGCTATCAAGTCTCACAGCTATCTTGGGTGGAACGGAAGGTTTGCAATATTGTTGTCAATTTATGTACTGTATATATATGATATTAATTTATATGTTTCATAACTCTTAAAAAACGAATCTGTTAAAAGTTGCAAAAGAAATCTGGTAAAAGATATGTTTCTTTAGATGGCAGCGACTTTCTTTGGTGAACCCCCATCTGCCACAATTGGTGAAGCAATCCAGGACTTTGAGGCAGCTGATAGGGTTTGTGGTGTTTTATAAATTGCAATAGTTTAAATTTTAGGAGAAGCCTGAATGGTGTGAGAATTTGATGTGGCTCGGAAAAAGTCATTTGGCTAACAAAGATAAGGTACAAGGTTTTTTTTGATTTCTTTTAATTTGAAAAAGTTACACGTTTAAAATTTATACTTTTTCTATACTATACTTTTTCTTTAGGCAAGTGCTCGAAAAGCTTTTGAGCGTTGTATCGCCATTCCACCCAAAGATGCCACTTCTCGTCAATCGGTTCAAGAATCTAATGAACTTTTGCCGAAGTGTTAGAATTGAGATAATTGATATTTTCATTCAGGTGTTTAGGAACACTCTTTTTTTTTGTTTTTCCCTTCCTGTTCTGCTTTTGAACTTCTTTTTGTATGTCTCATTCGCTTTGTTAAACTCTATCTGTTCCCGTTCTCTTTTTTTTGTGCATTTCTGGTGTGACCTGTGATCCTATATGGCTTTAGATGACGATTTGCTCAATCATTTTTTTTGTATGTATATCGGAAAAACTTGTAGATAATTTCTTGTAGATTTCTCGTGTTGTCTCGCGTGTTAGTTGTTTGGATGTTCACCAAAAATCTTTTGATTAACTTTTTTGATGCACTACAAGTTATAGCGGTTTTTTTTATTGAAGCAAATATTTACAATTAGCATAAATAAAATGATAATTGTTTCAAAGAAACAAAAAAAAACGGATTGCAGTTCAAAGACTAGAAGATAAGCAAAGTGAAAGTGAGTGAGAAGACGTGGGAAAACACGAAAAAGAAAAGTCAAAGGGTAGAATGTTTAAACAATGATAAATTTCATCAACCGTTCAAAAATCAAAAAATTTTTTAAACAAGCACAAAATTCAAAATTCAATTGAGCTTCAATGCAAAAAAATTTTTCAAATAAAAACAAAATTCATACAAGTCAAGGAAAAGTTTTTGGTGAAAAATAGCACAGAAGTCTTTATTTTTATGAAGTCTAATGCCGTGAGAAATCCCGTACACGAGAATTTTTGGGATCAAGTGATTCGGGGGGAAAGTTTGAGTCAAAAATTATTCGAAACCCTCGATTTTCCCAATTGGTCAGCTTTTGAACAGTCACAGACTTCTTTAAATTACTTTCTATCGATTCATTGTCAATGTCAATGTCAATGTCGGAAAATGTCAATGGGCTACTCTTGTAAACTCAAAAATTCACACTCATTTTCATGTTGTCGACTAGGATTTTTTTTTTTTTCCAAAAGTTAAACTTTAAACTTTAACTTAAATATGTTAGTTTTTGGGTTTAAAAAAAGTGTTAAGTTAGTTAATGTTAGTTATTGCTTTGAAGGAAATAATAATCGTTCGCTTCGGGCGGCAATTTCCATCCAGATGCACCCAATTCCAATAACAAAAGAATCATCTTTCTAGACAAAACAATTTTAAAGAGTTTAGAGAGTTTAGAGACTTTAAAAGTCACTTTTTATGTTGAGATAGCCCCCTCCGCGATTAAGTTTCTATGTGTTTCTTATTCTTATCGAATGCAGAAGAAGATTATCTCCCTTTTGCATACTTTGAGATCATTTAAAGCAGAATTATCTACATTCTATGTTCTCGATGTTTTTGCCACTCATACGTTGAGATAAAACCCTTTGATACATAGTCGACTCTATGCGAAACGCTGATCAAAACAATACCGTGTGCAAACAGCGCAACAACAAAAATAGCCCCCTCCACGCTTAAGTTTCTATGTGTTTCTTATTCTTATCGAATGCAAAAGAAAATTATCTCCCTTTTGCATACTTTGAGATCATTTAAAGCAGAATTAGTGTCGAGAAAAGCTCGGTCAACCTCTTTTTGAGCTCTTTTTCGCTTTTTGGCATTTTCTCATCCCAGATTTATTCTAAAAATTCAGCAAATAGCTATTTTTTTTCTAAATCAAATGAAAATCCGAAACACAAATAAACTTGGCATTATTTTGGCCGGCCCTCTTTGTACACGGCGCTGTTTTAACTAGCTCCCATCGATACAACGATCTCTCTCGATCTGCGTAGCTGCCCAGCCAAACGCAATCGTTATCCGTTCAGGGCAGCTACGCAAGAAGTTTGGGACATTTTTTCGAACAGTTAAATCAAGAGTTGACTGTATTTGACTTGAACCTTCAACCGTGACATCACCAACCTTGCCCATGGTTCGTGCACTTCGATGAAAGCATCTCGAATGAGATCTTTCAAATGAGAAAGTCGATCCGGACAATCTCTCTCCAAATCATAGCCGATTGAAAGAAGACAAGCGATTAGGCATTCCAACTGAAAAATTGCGCTTTGTTTGATTAGATTTAGATCAGATCAGATCAGATTAGCTCAGATTTAGATCAAAAAATGGGGTAGGTTAGTTTCCGCAACTGGGTCGTTTGCACAACTTGCCATAACTTCTTTCTAAGTCAGCCAATCTTTATGATTTTGGTTTCATTTTGTTGCACTTATTGAGATCTACAAAATGACATCAAAATAATAAAGATTGGCTCACTTAGAAAGAAGTTATGGCAAGTTGCGCAAAAAAAGTTGCGGAAACCAGCCTACCCCCAGAAAATCTTTGAAGATTTTCCTTATAAAGATTTTGCGTGGCTTTAAAAGCTTTTTCGAGATCGAAAATGGGCTTTTGAAAGTTTATTTTTTGTATTTTCACTTACTTCTTCGATTTTGAGATTTTCAAGAATTGGTGGCCGAAGTAGAAAATCGAAAACTTGAAAGACCACACTTGCGAAATCACCTGAAATCGTTTTTCTTTGCGGAAAAAAGGCACAGTCTAGAAACGTGTACATAAGCTGTATTTAATAAATAATACAGAAAAAGAAACAGTCTAGAAAGATGTGTACATAATATGTATTTCTTTGTAATCGTAATATTTCAAGCCCAAACCATTTGGTGTACACCCAACATTCGCGTAGATATCCGAAACGAAATTAAGAAAAGCAATCCACATTCGAAAATGCTCTTGTCGCAATCTGAAAGTTTCAAAAGTCTTGGGTTGAATTTAAGCGTCCCCTTCCAGCGGTGGTCGTGGTGCAGTGGTGGTCTACAGAACTGCTAGTGTGATGGTCTACAGAACTGATCTGCTTTACTTGTGGTTGGCTCGAATCCCCACTTGCCAATTGTTCTTTCTTTTTGATTTATATCACATTGATATTTCTGATTTTCACAAATTCACAGTATTTCCTTTTCCTTTCTTATCCTATGGTTCTTTGGTTTAAAACATTTGTTCATCTTGGTCAGGAAAGGATAAGAGGAGAGGATTAGAGGAAAGGATAAGAGGCTACTATTAGACTCAGGGCCATCAATTTGCGGCTCTAGTAGCAAGAAAACTGTTCTCTAAATTTGCATTTAAACAAATTTTAGGGAAAGTATCGAAAAATCTCGATGCTCACCTTTCTCGACAATCGAAATATTGAGCGATCGAACTGTGAAGACCTTTAATGAGACCTGGGAAACATAAAGTATCCGCTAACAAGCCGCAGATCTGAAAATTCACTGAGATTGTTTGGAAATTTGGTCGAAAATCGGAAGCTTACACAAGCTGCCTTTCATCATTACGTCTGATCACCTTTGTCGATTGTTTACAACAACGTGTTCCACCTTCGATCGAGTGTTGAGCAATTGAATTGCCCACACATTCGGCCGCCATCTCATCCCGGTATTCGCCTAGAAGGATTTTTATTAGGTACATGCCTAAGAAATGAGGATTTCAACATTTTCATAAATTTCCAAGGATAGAAAGGATTAGATGCTAAATAGTTTCTACATTATAGTTTGATCCGTTTTGATGCGCAAAAAACCGTCACTAGCGTGCTTAATTCCCCCATTTTCTCAAGTAAAATGAAGAAAACTGTGTGAGCTAGAAAGGATTTGTTTACGGTTTTTTTGAGCATCAAAACGGATCAACTAGGTACATGCCTAAGAAATTTAAACGGGATTTAAGGGGATTTAAACATTTTCATAAATTTCCAAGGATAGAAACCTGATATCGATGAATGTTATATACTATTTGAATGTTACTATTTGAAAGTCGTAAATCTCCTCTACAAAATAGGCTAAAACGTGTTTCAATTGATCGAACCATTGAAGAAATTTCGAGGGCGAAATGCGAGTGACCAAAAAAGGGCACTTTTTGAAAACTTTTGAAACCGCACCCTCACAAGAGTTCGCTTTTGACTATATAGTGGAAAATGACGGCCCTAAAATCATTATCCTAAAAATATCATTCAAAATAATTAAGAGTTGGGATCATTTCATGGGAAAACTTTCTTTTTTGTGAAAAAGTCGGTTTTTTTTGATGATTTTGAGGGTTTTGAACTTACGTTCTATCTAAATTTCTGTAAATGCATTTCCGTTAGACTTTTTTAATGAATTGATATATAGTTATCCTTTCTTTTTTAAAATCTTCAATTTTAGGAAGCTAACTCGATTTTGACCACACTAAACTTGTCCCTAAAGTAGCTCGATTCCTTTTTTTTGGTCACTCGCATTTCGCCCTCGAAATTTCTTCAATGCTTCGATCAATTGAAAAACTCTTTAGCCTATTTTGTAGAGGAGATTTACAACTTTAAAATAGCTTATAACATTCATCTATATCAGGTTTCTATCGTTGGAAATTTATGGATCGTTTTGATGCTCAAAAAAGCCGTAAACAAATCCTTTCTAGCTCACACAGTTTTCTTCATTTTACTTGAGAAAATGGGGGAATTAAGCACGCTAGTGACGGTTTTTTGCGCATCAAAACGGATCAAACGATAATGTAGAAATTATTTAGCATCTAATCCTTTCTATCCTTGGAAATTTATGAAAATATTGAAATGCATGTAATCGGCATCTGCCGTTCGCCAATTGCTTTGAAATTTTGTTTACAAGCAGATGCCAATTTCTTATGCATCTACCTGATAGTTTAAGATTGAGATCTTGAACTTATAGAAAGCAAGCTATAGCCCACTTGCAATCAATTGCTCCAATTCAGCGATATTCGTTGGGATTTGAAGTGAGCGAAGAGCGGTTGAGATATCGAAGAGATCTTTTGGTGAGAGTAACTAAAGATCTCTGATTTTTTTTTATTTACCTTGAACAAGAATTGATTCTCTTTATAATAGCTTGAGCTTTATGATCTCTTTATAATCTCTATCAAAGCTAGAGTCTGTTCAGTCTCTTCAAAATTCCCCACCTTTCTCTGCTTTTCTTTCTGAATAGGCATCGATTTGGGTGGAGTTGGTCGTTGGCTTTTATTTTGTTTTTCAAGAGCTGAATGAGAATTGTTCATTTCAAAAATCTTCATTTCAAGATTTCAACTTTTATTAACGATTTTATTTATTTCGCAGAAAGTTCTGATAACTTTATACTAGTTTTCAAGAAGAGATTCAAGGCTATAATCGAATTACTATTATAGTTTAGTTGAGCCTAGTTGAGTCGAATGAGTCTAGTTGAATTCTCACCCAAGTTATCAGTAAAATAGTAACGACTACGCGATTGTACGCCCAAAACACCAGAATTTACTAAAAACTGACTTGTTTTCAGTTTCTCGATCTCTCCACTCACACTCCCGAACGAAGCACCGCCTGAGGATTTCTAAAAACGTGGGTAAGTCAAAAACTGAGGAATAGCTCGGAAACGTAAGAATTTGCTATTGTAAGATTGAAAGATTGAAAGATCTCTCCACTCACACTCTTACATAGGCCGATTTTAAGCCCACTCTTCCCATGCGGCAGTCGTGGCCTGGTGGATAGTGTGATGGCCTATAGAGCTTTGGCCTGGTGGATGGTGTGATGGCTCTATAGAGCTTTGGCCTGGTGGATAGTGTGATGGCTCTATAGAGCTGATCGAGTTTCTTTTGTTCGAATGGTGGATTCGAATCCGCGCATGGGAAAATTTCAATCTTACATCTTATCTTTCAATCTTACAAAATTTCAATCCGAACCTAATTCCACCTTCATTTCTTGGCCGTTTGCCAATTGTTTTGAAATTTTGTTGCAGATGCCACAAGCAGATGCCAATTTCTATTTGTAAACAAAATTTCAAAACAATCGGCCAAGGCTGAGAAAACAAAAATGGAATTAGGTTCGGCTTGGAATTTTCCTATTTCTAGTAAGTAGTTAAACACTGTTAGAATCAGAGATTTGCAAAGATTATCTTTTCATTGTACTCTTTTTCATCGCACCTGTGATATGGCACTCTCGGACGAGAGACTGCTCTCCGTTCGATTCAATCTTTGTTCTCCTTGATTCAAACCCGATCGAGGCGGTGATTTTCGGTGATTATTGTTTTCTGAATAGAAATATTAGTGGAATTTCGATAGAAATCTCAGAAGTCGATAATAGATTTAACGTAAATACTGTAATAGTACCCAACCCCCATAATGACGGTGCGGAGTGTTATCGAAGCAGTCGCTTAGTCGCAAAAATTTTTCACTTTTCAGTAATTCATTTTTTTTAAACTACATATTTAGTGTCAAAATATAGCTGAGATTTTGGGCTATCGTTTAACACTTAAACGCACACTGTAGCATAAAACAGCGCTGAGAACGAAGCGCTTAAAAAAAAACTTTTGCGACTACGCGACTGTACGAGGGGGGTGGGGTACCATTAGAATATTTACAATAGCAAATTCTCATAGATGAGTGCCAGCGAGGCTGAAAGAAGGGTTTTCGTTGTGGAAGAACAGGGAACAGGTTTGACAAAAAAGAACCTACCGTAAATACTGCAATACTACCCCACCCCATAATGACGGTGCGGAGTGTTGTGTAGCTCTAGCTTTGAACTAGTTTTTCTCGACACTGGTTTATGCTACAATGTTCGTTTTGGTTTCAAAAAATAGCCCTGAATTTCAGCTATTTTTTGATACCAAAGACGCATTTTTTGAAAGTACAGGCGCTTTGAAAAAAATGAAATGCTAAAAAACTACGCGACTGTACGAGGGGGGTGGGGTACTATTACAGTATTTACGGTAATGCTTTTTTTTGCAACTCACCCTCATATCGATTGTAATTCTTGTGATTGGCTGTTGGTGACGGCTTTGAACCGGCCGTCTCTCCGGTTGGTGGCGCTTGGTTTTGGCTCTGAATGGAAATCAAGTTGAGTGTTCAAAGCTAAAGGCTTAAAACTTTGTTTCCAAAGTTTCCAGGGTTTTCTATGGTGGGGAATCCAAATCTGTCGTTAGTTTTGAATTCTGACCAAGATTGTCACCAAACACGTCAAAAACACGGGAAATTAAACCGAAATTGAGAGAAAAGAAAGAACGATCTTTCTTCTGTCCCCTTATACCTAGAAGCTATGCGCCAGAATCTTCGCGATTACGTAAACATGTAAAATTTCATCGTTTTGCATAAACGCACGGCACACAGCGCAAAAATTTCGAAATTTCTAAATAACCGTGATTTTTTCAAAAGAAAATGAATAACTTTGTTAGTTTTTAACATTTTTGCGATCTTTATTTATTAGAGGAGATATCTGGGCATTTTATTCTCTATTTTATTCTCTATTTTATTCTCTATTCATTAGAGGAGATATCAGAGCATTTTTTGGCATAAAAAAACATCAAAATCGATCAAGTAGGAAAAGTTTTTTAATGTCGAAGTTGGAGACTCCTCAAAATGGCCGAAATGGCCTCATATTTCCGATTTGGAGTTACTGTGGTCAAAAACTAATGCCGAATTCGGATTTCCCACCCCCGAAAACCCTAGTAGACAAATTTTCAGCTCAATTAGTTCACAAAAAACGCCAAATATAGCGTGTGAGGCAAAAACTACAAAAATGACGACTTGTCACACTAAAAACGCTTCTAACTTGCTTCAAATCTGCCCGATTGACATGACCTATAGCTCAAAAAATAGAGAATTTCAAGAGCTTTTGAATGGCCAAAAGCACACTCAAAAATATCAATGCTAAAGGAAGTTACAGTGGTTTGTAGTCGGACGAAACGGACGCGCATAGTCAAAGCAATCTAGTCGGGTACAAACCATTGTAACTTCCTTTAGCATTGATATTTTTGAGTGTGCTTTTGGCCATTCAAAAGCTCTTGAAATTCTCTATTTTTTGAGCTATAGGTCATGTCAATCGGGCAGATTTGAAGCAAGTCAGAAGCGTTTGTAGTTTACGTTTGTAGTCTAGTAGCGCCTTTTCATCACCAGCGTCTCATATTGGTGCGAATGTGTTAATTTAGTTTAATTTCGTTATCGATTTGAGTTTGTACTATAGTTATTTGCAATTGTAAACTTGAAACCTTTACAACGAGGGAAATCCCTGTGCCATTCTCACTCTGAGAATCGGGCGGCGATCCCGTCACTCCCGATCGAAGGCCTGAAAAAGAAAAATTGAGATTTTTTTCAGCTGATATGAGTTTGCATTAACTGTTAAGCAATTCTAGAATTTAGCCAATCTTTAATGATTCAGGATAACTATTTGTTATTTCAACTCACCGGGAGGTCTGTAGATCTGCATCGCGGGTCGAGATGCCGGTTTTTTTGACGAGACGCGACTCTGGAACTAGGGATTTTGGGACATTTCCCATTGGCAATCTAACTTTGAACTCAAATCTCTTGGTGTCGAGCTGTTCAATTTCAATATTCTTCGTATCATTGGATGCGCCAAGTCTTTCTCTATCGATTGGTACAAAAACTATTTCAATTGAACAGCTCAACACCAAGAGATTTGGGCTGTTCAATTTAATATATACCAATCGATAGAGAAAGCCTTGGCGCATCTAATGATCTTAAGAATATTGAAATCGGACAGCTCAACACAAAAATATTTGAGCGCAAAGTTAGGTTGCCAATGGGAAAAGGGACGGGGCGCGTATAAAAGGTCCGTCGCCCCGCCCCTTTTCCCATCGGCAATCTAACTTTGAGCTCAAATATCTTGGTGTTGAGCTGTTCAATTTAAATAGTTTTTGTACCAATCGATAGAGAAAAACTTGGCGAATCTAATGATCTTAAGAATATTGAAATTGAACAGCTCAACACAAAAATATTTGAGCGCAAAGTTAGATTGCCAATGGGAAAAGGGACGGGGCGCGTATAAAAGGTCCATCGCCCTGCCCCCATTACCATTGGAAAGCTAACTTTGAGCTCAGATATCTTGATGTTGAGCTGTTCAATTGAAGTATTCTTCGTATCATTGGATGCGCCAAGTTTTTCTCTATCTCTATCGAGCTCAAAGTTAGATTGCCATTGGGAAAAGGGGCGGGCGCTGTGTCCGATAATCGTAAATAAGTATGAGCTTGGAATCAAAACTTTCAAATCAAAATTGCTACTCTAGATCTTAATGTAAACTCGTAAAATGTTTGATCAAGTGTTGTATCGATTGAAAGGAAAAGGGGAAAACCCGGAAAAGAGAATTAGCATTTAGATGAGAAAAGGGTAGACACTGGACACTGGAATTGTAATAGACAGTGAACAATGAAAATCTCTTTGAGTAAAAGTAAATGAATTTAAGTCTAGTAGTAAGCTAGTAAGCTAGTAAGCTGGTGACTAAATTCCGACAAATCTTTGTGCCTCTTTGTGATGCTTGAGCGGAAACTTTATGTTTACCCATCATCCCCACCATTTCCCTTCGCTTTCCCCTCAAAGATTGACCTCAAAGACTCAAATATTATGACAAAAGGAAAGAAAGCCTTAAACTAACTAATCATAATATCTAAACAAAGAATCCGTTGAAATAAAATGTACAGGGTGCGTCATAGTTATTGCAACAAGATACTCAAGGCATTGCACACCAAGAAGTTTCACTGGAAGAAGATTTTTAAACAGAAATAGCTTTATTTAACAGTAACAAATAAGGAAACAAGAGATCATTCGATATGACCGCCTTTTGCCTTGATAACAGCCTTGATAACAGCCCTTAATCGGTTCGGATATGCCTCCACTGCGGCCCGAATGTCATCTTGAGGAGTCGCCTTCCATCCTTTGGTCAAAGACTTCTTCAAGGTCAAAGAGCAGACATTAGCCTCTAAGATTGCCCAAATGGAAAAGTCCATCACATTGAGATCCGGTGAGTTTGGAGGCCATTCATCCTTGGTGATCACTGAGGGAAAGTTGGCCACACACCAGTCCTGAACCGTCTTCTTCGTGTGAGCGGGAGGCAATTAGGCAAGAATAAAGAAGATAGAACGCAACACAACAAAAAAGGGGGCAAAAAAAATAAGAAAGCTGTTTGGAAAACGGTCTTTGAACTCTTGTTGCAATAATTATGACGCACCCTGTATATTCTTTTTTATTTTGTAAAATATGATTCTCTAAAATGTCTAAAATCAAGGAGATCAATTTTCACAAACCTTTTGATCGTTGGCTCCATCAGAAACGGTAATCGGATTCTCTTTTTCCATTTTTCTCCTGAAATTCTTTTCCATTTTATTCATTGCTTAATATTACCTTTTTTTTGAGAAAAAGCTTCTTTTTTTCTATCAAATTGATGAAATTTCTAGTGGAACTAGAAGATTTTCAAGCATAAAATGATTGGGTTTTCGAAAAAGATTGATTTTGGAGTCAAACGAGTCGATCGAAAGTGGAGCCGTCGCTCTGAAAATCGATAATATTGATTGATATCGATAATATTAAACCGATAATATTAAAATCGATAATATTAAATAATCTTTTTAAAAAAGTAAACTTATAAAAGTATTTTCTAAAGTTTAGAATAAGCCAAGGATGAAATTGAAAATCGATTTTGAGATGAAAGGTTTAAATAGATTTAAATAGAGAACAAGTACAAGTTAAAGTTAAAGAAGCACAAATGTTTTACCAGTTAAAGGAGAACAGGTATTTTACAAGTTAAAGAAGAACAAGTGTTATACAAGTTAAAGAAGAACAAGTGTTTTATAAGTTAAAGAAGAACAAGTATTTTACAAGTTAAAGAAGAACAAGTGTTATACAAGTTAAAGAAGAGCAAGTATTTTACAAGTTAAAGAAGAACAAGTGTTATACAAGTTAAAGAAGAACAAGTATTTTACAAGTTAAAGAAGAGCAAGTATTTTACAGGTTAAAGAGGAACAAGTATTTAACTGGAATCAATGAACAAGCCATAAGCTTTTAAAGTTTAATAATAATTACAAATATTTAAAAAACCATGATCAAAACCAATTTTGAAATTTCTCTATAATCAGAGATTCGTTATGGACAAAATGACCACTAAAAACGCTGTTAGAGTTCGTAAAATTGATACAATTCTCTAAAGAGTCAATTTCCAAGCTGTCGATGTTTTGAATTTGAGAACAAAATATCTTTTTAGGCAAAAGGGACGTTCTGTTTGCTTCTTTTTCTTCTTTTTCTTCTTTTTCTTCTCTTTCACTCCAAAAGTGCCCAATTACACATTACAGCACTTTGAGAAGAAACAAGGAAAGGGAAAGGGGAAAGAAAAGAAAAAGAGAAAGATTAGAAAAATAAAATAAAATAGGATTAATATGTTAAATGAAATATGGAAGCCTATATGGAATGTACAGGCCTAGCCTGTACTAGACATGGACGTTTCAATCGGGTCGTTTCAATCGGATCGTTTTAGGTCAAATAGAGAAAGAAACTGATTATTAGTATAATTTGTTACTAAATTTGAATCAAATTTGTAAATGCAACTTTTACTTAAGTCTTAAGACTAGTCGGGTCGTAGCCTTAAGTCGAATTGGCTGAAAAGTCGGGTCGACTCAACCCGAAACCCATGTCTTTTGAGTACGTTGTCATTGATTTGTCTTTTGACTACGTTGTCATTGACTGACCCATGTCTTTTGAGTACGTTGTCATTGACTGTCATTGACTGACCCATGTCCTTTGACTACGTTGTCATTGATTTGTCTTTTGACTACGTTGTCATTGACTGACCCATGTCTTTTGAGTACGTTGTCATTGACTGTCATTGACGACCCATGTCCTTTGCCTTGGTGTCTTGACTACGTGTCTTGACGACCCATGTCTTTTGGTACGTTGTCATGACTGTCATTGACTGACCCATGTCTTTTGAGTACGTTGTCATTGACTGTCATTGACTGACCCATGTCTTTTGAGTACGTTGTCATTGATTTTATGACTCGAAATCGTTAAAAGCTTATCACTATTGATAAATTCTTGAAACATTTATTTCAAAGGATTGACGAGATTTAGAGACTAATGCATGCAAATCTGAAAAAGTTTCGTCATTGATTTTTCAATCTAAAAACTTTCCTCATTGATTTCTCAATCTAAAAAGTTTTCTCATTGATTTCTCAATCTAAAAGGTTTCCTCATTGACACAGTTTGTTTAGAGCTTTTAGAGATTAAATCTAAATTTATCAGGTTTTTTAAAAGAAATGTTTTTGAAAGTTCTTTGTGGAAATTTTCAAATAAGCTGGCTAAACTTTAAGGAAAAAAAATAAACAAACTGTAGTAAGACAGAGTTTAAAAAAAAGAACCATTAACATTAAATGTTTAATGGTTCTTTTTTTGTATCAACTTTAACAAAAGTAGAGTACGGATAGGACCAGATTCGGAAGAATGTACGTACTTCGGAAGAATCTGATCCGATACCATGTGTACGTACTTCCAAAACATTCCTTTATATCAACTTTAACAAAAGTAGAGTACGGATAGGACCAGATTCGGAAATCGGAAGAATCTGATCCGATATCTGATCCGATACCCGTGTATGTACTTCCAAAAAACATTCCTTTAAAGTGATCAAAGTAATCAAAGTGATATCTAAGGAAATTAAAGAAGCAAAAGTCATTTATCAATATGTAACCAAAAAAAAATGTTGATGAAATAAATCAATGTGAATGTTCTCTTTGCGAGATTTGTCTCTGTATTTGTGAGTGGTCGAGTCCCCTTCTCCCAACATATAAGAGAAAAATGAGTGATGATGACTTTGGGGAGAAGAAAAAAGAAAGCTTTGGGTGTGACAAATGTTCTCGTCGCCAGTCTCCTTTTTTTTCTGTTTTCTCGTGGATTTTTCATCCTGTAATCACCACAATCGGCCTCTCCCCTTCCCTTCCCTTCTCTTCCTTTCCCTCTCTTCCCTTTCCCTCTCTTTCCTTTCCCCCTTTTTCTGTTCTCTTTTCCACTCATCATCTCCGCCGACCACAAGTGTCCCTCTTTCCCGTTTTCTGTATTTGAGGAGACCAACGAACTGAAAGAGAATCGAGAAACTGTTAAAATGTTTACTTCAAAGTTTAGATAGAAACTTTGCATTAAAAATAGATTCACAATGGAAAATCAATTTTAAATTAACAACTACTAGTGGGTATTGAAAAAATGGAAATCACGATTATATATATCGTAGCCGTTTACGAAATACAGCTCTTAACGAATGAAATTTTTCGCTAGCCGTTTACGAATGATTCTTAATCGGCTAGCCGCTAACGAATCATTCGTAAACGGCTAGCCTAAGCCTAAGCCAAATTACGCGAACTCATTACCTGCGACCATCGGGTGTCATCGCGTGAATTGGGAAAAGAGTTAGGGGTTGATCATGCTACAGTGCTAAGGCATCTTCATACCCTTGGATTTAAATCGAAACTTAAGGCTTGGGTGCCCCACGATCTCACTGATCCCCCAGAAGTGGCAGTGCCCTTCGATCAGTGCCGCCCATCTCTCACAATACGAAAGGAAATCTTTTCTTCCTCGAATTGTGATAGGAGAAATGGGTTTTATCTGAGAAATGAGATGAGAAATGGGTTTTATCTGAGAACTTTCGGAGGAAGCGGCAATGGGTGGGGCCAGGGCAGGAAATCCGAAAGTGACCCCAAGCCCGATTTGCACCAGAAGAAGTTTATGCTCTGCGTTTTTGGGATATGGAGGAAGTGATGTACTGGGAGCTGCTGGATAGCAAGACGACCGTTAATGCAATCAAATACAGTGAACAGCTGGGAAAGGTGAATGAATCCCTGAAGAAGAATAGGCCCTCCAAGTCAAAGATCGTTCTCATCGCGCCCTCATGTTGCAAAACTGACTCGCTCTAAAATAAATAGCCTTGTTTGGGAACTTTTGGCGCATCCCCCATACAGTCCGGACCTTTCTCCTTCTGATTACTATTTATTCCGGACCATGAGTAATGAGCTTGCGGGAGAACACTTCGATTCGGAAGAAGCGGTCAAAAATTGGCTCGAAAAGTTTTTCGATTCAAAACCAGAATCCTACTACGAAAGAGGAATCCGCAAATTGCCTGTAAAATGGGCAGAAGTCGTCAATAATAATGGAAATTATTTGGAATGAATGAATTTATGGTTTTATGTTGAATAAATTTGAGTTCAAAGTCCCGCAAATTTCAATGCACCAACTCAATAAAAAGAAAGTTTCGTTTGTTAAGAATCCCTGGTCTTTACTAGGTTCTAATCAGCCAATCGTCTTGAAACAGAATCAAAACTAATCCGTCAAACATGAAAAACTAAAGTGAGCTTTGCATTTCAGTGGCTTTCATCATTTGCTGGCTTCCCTATTTTTGCATCTCGGTTTATCGGGGAATCTCGATGGGATTGAGAGTGAATATCCATCGCGAGCTACACATGCTGAATTCTATATAAGGAACGGGGATGGTTGTAAGACCGGGAAATTTTTTTATTTTATATAAGGAGGGTTCTATATAAGAGGATTCCATATAAGGGGGGATGATTTAAATTGATAAAAATCAATTCGGCTTTCTTAAAAAGCGCTCTACCTCCGACTCGCTAGTCCTCTGTGTGCATGACTGACTTCTAGCTAAAGCCAAAAACGATCAAACTAGTTGCGTTTTCATTGATTTTTCCAAAGCATTCGATTCTGTTCATCATAGATTTTTAATCGCCAAACTAAATTCACTAGGTCTCGCCATATCCATCACTAATTGAATTGCAAATTGGCTTACCGAAAGGACTTTTTGCGTCCGATTAGGCTCTACTTTTCGAATGACTTCCCCGTTAGTAGCGGAGTACTCCAAGGAAGCGTTCTTGGTCCTCTTCTTTTCCTTATTTATATTAATGACATTAACAGCTCGATCTTCCTAGGCACAAAAGTTCGACTCTACGCCGATGACCTGAAAATTTATAGGATACTTCCGTCCCAGAGCCCCATCCCTGTTTTTATTCTCCAATCTCGATCTTAACTCGATCCTTCTGTGGAGTAAATTTTGGAAACTTAACATTGCGCCGGACAAATGTAAACACGTTACATTTGGTACATTCAATATCCCTTTAAATTTGGGGGACCTACAATTACCACAAGGATTGACCGATGATCCTTTAAAAGACCTTGGTATACTGTTAGTTCCCTCTTAAAAATTTGATTCTCACATAAACTACATTTCCAAAAAAAGCTTCTAAAATTTCTAACGTAATACTTCGCGCCATTTATTCCCCTAAAATCGCGACTTATCGCAGGATTTTTATAACCTATTTCCGGCCTTTGCTCGAGTATGCCACCATCGTATGGTCACCATCCATTAAGAAAATTATCACCCTCATTGAAAATGTCCAACGGCGTTTCACTAAAAAAGCATACACTCGTTGTTTCCCTTCTTCTCTTATTCTTACGCTACCTCCAAGCATACGCTACCTCCAAGCATACGCTACCTCCAAGCATACGCTACCTCCAGCATACGCTACCTCCAAGCATACGCTACCTCCAAGCATACGCTACCTCCAAGCATACGCTACCTCCAAGCATACGCTACCTCCAAGCTCCAAGATTAGACTTATAGTTTTTGATTTAAATTCTGTTCTTGGACTAATTTACTGAAAAAGATCAATAATGACATTTTGAGAAGGTGTCTTTTTCTTTGATAGATTGAAAATGGTTGAATGACTTTGAGCAATTCAAAATTACACATCAAGACATTTTTAAACCGGTGACAATTTCGCTCATTTCGTTTTAGTGTAAGAATCTTGAAAGCTAAAACTTCTTGGATTCAAATCCTTGCTTATCTTTAGATATCTAATTTTAAATTTTCCAGAATGTTTAATAGCGAATGATCGATCAAAACGCAACGAGAAGTGTAAGAGAAATCCCACAATCTCTGCTCTTTCTGCGTTCTCTATTTGCTTCCCATAATCGCGCTCTTTCTGGCACACGCCTCGGATACGAGTCTTTTTCCATCGTGCCTTTTTTGGTGCTATGATATCTTTCCAACCTTTCGGCTGAGCCCCGAGAAGTGAACGATTTTCTTCTTTGCTCTTTTTAGTGCAGAGAAAATGATGTTCGCGACGAGGAAGGGCGATTGATGCACGAAAAGTCTCTGAGCACCCAACAATGTTGTTCTAAGGAAGCTAGGCATCTAAATTCTAAGATAAATCTAAATTTCCCCCCAGCTTGTCTCTAGTTTGGTAAAGATAAGGGAAAAATAGTATGATTGGCTTTATTATGTTTATATTCATTAATTCTAGCTTAAATCTATTCAAAACCAAATTAAAACTAGATAAAGCATGGTAGCCCTTAAATAGTTCTTAAAGCCCTTAAAGACCGCGGCTCGAAACTGTCGCCATGGCCGAGTGGGTAAAAAATATGATTCAAGCTCTGGTAAACCCTGGTTCGATCCCGGGTCGCGCAAAATTTCTCTACCTTATTCTTTTCTAAGAATAACAGAGAATGTTTAACAAAAGTGGAGGTCTTTGACAAAATAAAACAAACAATAATAAACAAAACAAAGAAAACACAATTTTGTGATTACATAGAATCAAAGCAATAACCGTACATTTCGATGCAACATTTCAAAAATTCTTTGACAAGTAACGCAACAACGATCTCGGCAGGCACTATTTGAACCTAAAAATAAAACGAAAACATCAAGAAGATCATTGGCAAGAGATTATTGACGAAAAAGAAAAGGTTTTGCGTGGTCGGGGATCGAAAAGGTTAACAAAAGATTGAATCATATTTTCCCACTCGTGGCCACGGTGTCTTTAAGGGCTTTATTTATCTGAAATTGTGAAAATCGAAAAATCACCTAAAATTTAAAGTGTATTTGCAAAAAACTATTGCTCATTCGCAAAAAACGGATTTCATCATCGTGTTCAAAGGCGATAAGCGTTTTGTCTTGCTTTTTAGGTTTCTTTTTGTCTTGATCTCACCGCCATTTCTGATCATTCCCTCATTAGCTTGAATATTCTCTGTTTTTTTATGATTAACAAGCTTTCTGAAAATTTAATCCTCAAACTATTCATTCAAATGAAATCCTCATTCATTTACAGTATGAAACGAGAAAAACGATATAGAAAGTCGATCCAATTGAATAAGCGAGTGAAATGAGAAGGAAAAACAAAAGATTTCTCAATGTGGATTGTTTAATCGTTTGCAAAATCTCGGGTACATCTTGCTCGGGATCACTAAAATTTAAAATTCAAAATTTTGAACTATAAATGAACTATAAATGAACTATAAATAAAACTATAAGAAACCAACCGTTTTATTTGTTGAATTTGAGGCCTCAAATTAGTGTGAGTGCTGTAAAGATTTTGAGACATAGAAAACAAGAAATCGACCAAAAAATTGGAAAAGTTTTTGAATGAAATACTAAAGTCTGGAAGGTTTTGCGGAAAAAAATCGGACCGTTTGCAATTCTCGGAACGAGCCGCGTTTTCTCTAAAATAAGTGAGAAAAACGGTGTTTGGGAAAGAGCGATTAAAAGGAAGAGAAAAATGAATGGATTGGATTAAAATATCCAACTCCACTCCCCTATTCGTCAATAGGCGAGTGGAGTTGGATATTTTATGTTTTGGAGAATATAGAAATTGAATTGAATCCTGCTTATTTTAAAAACGCATTTGTTTGCTGCATCAAAAGGAATATAAAAGAATAGCGAAATAATCGCTAGATACCTATCGAATACTCTTAGATTTGTAAAGAAAATGTTTTTAAAGTAACCTAAACGCACAGTCACAGTCAAAGTTTCAAACTTTCCAACATAAGAGGCCAACAACAAGACTGGCTAGTAGAGAGTGTTTCTCGCGAGTAAGTAAGTAATTACGCGAGTAATTAAGCGAGTAATTACTTGAGTAAAATTTACATCAGTCCATTTTTTACTCGATTAATCGACGTTTTTTTTGGCCGAGTAACTACGAGCAATCCTCTTTACACGTCGAGTACATTGAATATCTTTACATTTGACGGGAATTTGCCACCAAATCAGTTGAACGGTTGGATATCTTTAAAAGGAGGCGGCGCTCGCCATTTTTTTGGGGAGATATTTTTATTTTTTTTTTTATTTTTTATTTTTTATTTTATTTTTTTTTTTTTTTTTTTTTTAAAAATTTTAAATTTTATTTTTTTTTTATTTTTTTTTTTTAAATATAAAAAAAATAAAAAAAAAAAATATTAAAATTAAAAAAAAAAAAAAAAAAAAAAAAAAAAAAAAAATTAAAAAAAAAAAAAAAAAAAAAAAAAAATAAAAAAATAAAAAAAAAAAAAAAAATATTTTTTTTTTAAATATTAATATTTAAAAAAATTATTTTATTAAATTTTTTTTAATTTTATTTATTAAATTATTTTTTTTTTTTTATAAAATTTATTAAAATTTTTTTTTTTTTTTTTTAATTTTTATCTTTTTTTTTTTAAATTTTTTCCCAAATATTTATTTTATTTTAAAAAATTTTTTATATATATTTTTATATATTAAAAATTTAATAAATAAAAAAAAAATATTAAAAAATTTATATTTTCACCCATTAATTTAATTTTATAAAAAAAAATTATAATATTTTATATTTTATTACCCACTTTTTTCCTTTTTAAAAAAAAAATTTTTAAAAAAAATTTTTATATAATAAAAAAAATATAAATATCTATTATTTTTTAATCAATATTTAAAAATTTATTCTTTTTATATATTTAAAATAAAAAAAACCCCCAAAATAAAATTTTTTATTCTTCCTATAAAAAAAAAAAAAAAAATTTATTATAAAAATTTTTTTTTTTTAAAAATATTTAAAAAAAAAAACTCCCCATTTATATTTAAATATCTTTTTTTTTATTTAATATTTTTTTTTTATTTTTTATTTTAATTATTTTTTTTTTTTTTTAATTTTTTTTTTTTTTTTTTTTTTATAAATATTTACTTATCCAAAAATAAATATTTCCCCCCTTTTTTTTTCCCCCCAAAAATAAACTCCCCCCCCCCCCCCCCCCTTCCTCCTCCTTCATTCTTCCCCAACCCCACCCCCACTCCCCCCCCCACCTTTTTTCAATTAATTTTTTCAAAAAACCCAAAAAAATAATTTTTTCCTAATTTTTAAAAAACTTTTCACCAATTCCCTTTTTTTTTTTATTTTTTTTATTTTCTTTTTAAAAAAAAACTCTTTTTTTTTTTTTTTTTTTTTTTTTTTTTTTTTTTTTCCCTTTTTTTTTCTTTTTTTTTTTTTTTTTTTTTTTTTTTTTTTTTTTAATTTTTTTAATATTTTAAAAAAAAAAAAAAAAAAAAAAAAAAAAAAAAAAAAAAAAAAAAAAAAATTTCTTTTTTTTTTTTTTTTTTTTTTTTTTTTTTTTATATTATTTTTTTTTTTAAAAATTAAAAAAAAAAAAAAATTTTTTTATATATTTTTTTTTTTTTAAAAAAATTAAAAAAAAAAATATTTTTTTTTTATTTTTTTTTATATTTTTTTTTTTTTTTTTTTTTTTTTTTTTTTTTTTTTTTTTTTTTTTTTTTTTATATTTTTTTTTTTTTTTTTTTTTTTTAATTTTTTTTTTTTTTTTAAAAAAAAAAAAAAAAAACCCAAAAAAATTTTTTTTTTAATAAAAAATTTATATTTTTTTTTAAAAAAATTTTTTTAAAAAATTTTTTATAGTCACATAAGCGCCAAAAATTGAGCGACGTTCATTCGACGTTCATTTAAGCGCCAACGATTCGGCGTGCGCTCCGCCGCGTCAAAAATGACTGGAAAATGTTCATTTCCGTGCGACTAGATTTTAATATTTTTGCTTTCTACGCTGCTTTTGCATGTTTTTTAGGGGTTTGCTTCTGTTTTTACACTTTTTTTTACTTATTTGACCTAGGGCGCGGCAGTAGGCACCAAATGCGCCGAGAAATTTGCTAGATTAGCTCGTATTTAAGGTCTGTTTTTGATGAAAATGTGTAAATTTGCTAGTTTTATGATATCTTGCCCAATAGCATGTTTTTTTCACCGTTTCTTGTCATTTTCGTCTACAATTTGCTTACAGTTAACATATTTCTTTGTTTAGAATGAATTACGCAAGAAGCGGCGACACGGCGCAACATCCGGAGTCAAAGAGGTAGTCAAAGCGAGGTAGTATTTTATTCTTCATTTTCTAGGCGGTTTTGCCCGATTTTATAATTGCACCATGTATTTTTTATCTTCAGGCGTTGACAGAAGTGCGTGCCCGCAACAAAGAGCTCTTCGCGACGACGATGCTATTAAGGTTAGTGGATTCCCTAGTCTTATTCACTTTTGTTTTAGCGTTTCAACTTATTTGATGTTTATCAAAACCCTGCAACGAAAGTGTATGTACAAGAATGAATGGCGCTAACCTTTGTAAAATCTTCTGACGTCCGGAAGTATTTTGAGGTCTTGCAACATGAAGCCTATATCAATTTGCCAAACTTTGTCAACGGATTGCGACGTAAATTTGATACAGTATAAATAGATAACTTGCTATTTTTAGGCGTATTTGTATACTTTGAAAACAGCTATATCAGAAAAGTGGTTATGAGTCGTTATGTTTTACCGCTTCACGCCATTGAAAACTGAAACTCATTTGGCGCTGTTATGAGAGACGAACAAATTGGATAATCATCACAAAAATTAAAGTCAAGAAGTCATAACGCCAGATTGAAGGTATCTCTTTTAAAAACCTTTTATACATTTTGTTTATTAGGAAATCATATCGAAATGTTCGGCAGAATTTGTGGCAATGAAGTTGTTAGAGGTTCAAGAAAAGTACGAGAAGTTGTTCGTTCTTACTGCACAGAAGCATTTGTCTTTTCCCCAACTCTCTCCACAGTCATCACGAATTCGAACTGCTCATCAACAACGGAAGCTGGCGATTAAAAATGGACTCTTGGGAAAATCATCCGAAAGCTTTGTGTTCTTTTGTTCATTTGATGTGATTTGTTTGTTTTGCTTTTACTCATTTGTTGTTACGCTTTTGCGCATCATACGTATTTTGTTGTTATTTTTATTATTGTTATATTGCGCAATTGTTATTGTGTGTTAACTAATTGAATAAAAACGTGTAGTAAAAACCTTGAAATCAAGCAAAAACTGCAAAAAACACAGGAAGGGTTGATTCGGCGCTGAAATGAACATTTTCAAGCTATTTTTGGCGTGGTGCTGAGATGAGCCGCGCTCAAATGAACGGCGTTCAATTTTTGGCGCTCATGTGACTACCATCCTTTTTTCGCACCAATTTTCGCTAAAAGTACTTTTTCCCGAGTGTGCGTTTTTTTTTACTTCCGAGTTTTTACGCATTACTTCCGAGGAACACACTCTACTGTCTAGTTGGGATGCAATTTGAAATTCTTTTCATTATTAGCTTTTTTTATTATCAAACTTGCTGTCAAATTATCCAAATTTGTTATTTCAAAATATTCATTTCACAAAGAGCAACTCGTTGTCGCTGATCACAGGGGAAATCATTCCATCGAGAAATCCCAGAAAGGTCTCCTTTATATCCGATTGTTTCATCCGTGTACATCTAAATCATCTTTTCCAGTTAACTATAATTTCTATTGTAGATTTATAATATCTTGGGTTATATCTTTTTTTTTTGTTTCATCTCACATTCACACATCTCTCAACATTTCCTCCATTTGGTTCTCTCGGTGACCATCGTTTGTAAGCATTTGGTTTCCCATTACTCCAAATTAAAGTCTCATTATCCTGCAAAAAAAATCATACCGTAAATACTGTAATAGTACCCCACCCCTCTCGTACAGTCACGTAGTCGCAAAAGTTTTTTAGTATTTAATTTTTTCAAAGCGCCCATACTTTCAAAAAATGCGTCTTTGGTATCAAAAAATAGCCCTGAATCTCAGCTATTTTTTGATACCTAAGCGCGCATTGTAGCATAAACCAGTGTCGAGAAAAACTCGTCCAAAGCTAGACTACGCAACCCTCCGTACCGTCATTATGGGGCTGGAGTACTATTACAGTATTTACGGTATGTACACATTACTAATTTCCAAATTTTATTTTAAACCAGTAATTAGCTTTTTTTTCGCTTACAATTAGCTACAATTAGCCTCATCTATTGAAACGATTTTACCTTGATTAGTCAAAACTTTTGAAACTAACCCCTTTCTTTGCTCCGATTATAACATTCCCGTAAAAGAGATCAATCATTTTATCAGCTTTTGTTAGTTCTGAAATGGTTTTTTTAAGTTTTTCTTCAACTTTCACCTAAAACCAATAAATTTTTGAGATCATTGTTAACGGTGACCAATTCCCCGTTCACCGAGCGACAAATCGCGGTCGCCTCATCGAAATTTACATTGTAAACAGACTAAAAGTAAAAGTTCTATATAGAAAGCTATTTGTAAATAATATTTTTGAAATTATCTCACCTTATAACAACTTTTAAAGTGTCGACTGTGAAACCATCCCTCTGGACAACCGCTGAAAATATTCGAGTTTCAAATATGATTTCTATCTTTACGTTAAGTTCTTAGTAAGATTTTTTATTTTACTTTTTATTTTCTTTACTTTACTTTACTTTATTTATTTCACTTTTATTTTCAATATTTAATCTTTTATATTGATTATATTTATATTTAACCTCTCACGTTTTTATGGAGATCGGTGTCTGAACAATTGTCGATTTTTGTGGATGAACACATTCGTTTCTGTAAAATAGGCTTTGTAAAGCTTACTGTTTTTAAGATAATGTCGAATTCCTCCGATTCTCAGTTCAGTTAAAATATTCACGACGTCGTATTGGCTGTTAGCCGATTGGTTGTACTAATAACGATTCTTTTAGTGTCAACTCAAGCTTTTACGGGCTTTTATTCTTTATTTTATAGAAAGTTCGCGGTAACTTTGTACTAGTTTTCAAGAGAAACGGCAAAAATGGCTGGGTCGTGAATGTGTTAAAAAGAGAGGGTTAAGGGTTAAGCTTTAAATTTCTAGATTTTAGTGGCTCTACTTTCTGCAATTACTGATTTGCCCATGTACTGATTTGCTAATCCCATTTAGTCTGCGCTTATTTTAAAATATGACTTTTTAAAGGCTTACTTGTTTTTTTTTTATTTAGTACTATTTAAAGTACCGCTACCTAAATACCGTATTCTCTCTAACAGTAGTATGTCCAGCCGAGCCGAGTTGATGACTATTTTACGGTTTCTAAGTTTTCGTAGAAGCTCAACACTCAAATCCCCCCACAAGATCTCATCGTCAGCTACATTTTCCGATCCCACATCGATAGGTTCTGATAAGCGGTTTTCGAGATTTCGAGCAATTTAGGCAAGGCTCAGGGTGCACTACTATTAGAGAAAATACGGTGAATTTAAAAAGTTAACGACTACGCAACTGTACGCCCGAAATATCGCTAGTTTAACTGTTCAAATTGTAAATGAAAACTTACAAACGATATTGACAAGTCTTGAGGAAATGTTTGATCAGAGTTGAATCACTAAAAGATCTATTTTAGCTAAAAAGTATCTTAAAATTCACTCATATTTCTTGATTTCTTGGATAAGAGATCTTTGTGAAGTGATTGAATCTGATGTTTGATTCGATCTAAAGCTTTTAGAGTCAGCTTTTAGAGCTTTTAGAGGGTTTTTTTCTTCATTTAAAATGAATTACCTGAAATAATTGATGACAAAAATCAGATAAACCGTTGCCCCAATCGAATAAGCGATGAATGTCGTGAGGAAAAAGAATAAAAGACGAATTCGATGCTTTAAAATCTCATTTTCTTTATCGCTTTTTGAAATTCGATTTCTAAATAGCTATTTTAAAGGTATAAAGAAAAAAAAAGGTTACAGTAAAAATTGAGGCTTTTCCTCGACGTCGAGATCTCCCATTAAACAAGAAAAAACTCGAAAAAATGAGAAAATCAATTGGGAAAATGAATGAATGAAAAAAAAGAGAGTGAAAGTTCTCAAAACAAAAAAAAGATTGATCAAGAAAAATGAAGAAAAGATTTGCTTTCAAAGCTTTGAAAAGATTTGCTTTTGCTTAGCGAAAAGGATTTCTTTGAGCTGATCGTCTTTATTTGTTCTAAAATGTAAATGAATCCTTTCTAGCGCATAAAACTTTCATTTTCTTTTGTAGAAAACTTATAAATTTTTGCTCTATAAGAAAGAAATTTTTAAGCACAAAATATAAAGTTTTTAAAGTTAAAATTGTTTATTTTTAAGTTTAAATGAAGTTTTGTGTTTTGTTTTTTGTTGAAATTGATAAATTGAGGTTTATTGAGGTTTATTGAGGTTCAAAGATTTCTTGAGGTAACAATGAAATAAAATAAAATGAAACAAATCGACGAATATTGTTATTTCTACTCTCGATTAGACATGAGCACTATAAACTACAAAAATGACGGACTTGTCACACTATGAACGCTTCTAAATTGCTTCAAAGCTATCGGATTAACATGATCTATAGCTCAAAAAATGCAGAATTCCAAGAGCTTTTGAATGGCCAAAAACATACCGAAAAATATCAATGATAAAGAAAGTTACAGTGGTTTGTAGTCGAACGAAACGGACGAAACGGATAGTCAAAGCGATCGAGTCGGCTACAAACCATTGTAACTTTCTTTAGCATCGATATATGCTACTCTTGATTAGACATGAGCACTATAAACTACAAAAATTACGACTTGTCGCACTGAAAACGCTTCTAACTTGCTTCAAATCTATCGGATTAACATGATCTATAGCTCAAAAAATAGAGAATTCCAAGAGCTTTTGAATGGCCAAAAACATACCGAAAAATATCAACGTCTAAAGAAAGTTACAGTGGTTTATGTCAAAACGGACCGTATTTGCGCGTAGTCACGCTACAAACTATTGTAACTTTCTTTAGCATTGATATTTCTGTGTGTGCTTTTGGCCATTCAAAAGCTCTTGAATTCCTCTATCTTTTGAGCTATAGATCATGTCAATCGGGCAGATTTGAAGTAAGTTAGAAGCGTTTGTAGTTTACGTTTCTAGTTTCTAGTGCCCTTGTCTACTCTCGACTACAGACAACATAAAGAACACAAAAAAAGACTAAAATGCAACTTTCATCTGTACAATAGATGAAAGATCTTCTGCTTTCTGCTAGCTGAATGCTTTCATTTCACACAGGGAAATCCTTTGCATCGTCTCACATGGCACGGTCATCCAAAGAGAATCTATCCATTTCTCTGCATTGTCGGTGATCATCTGAAAGAAAGCAAAACAATAATGTGCTTTGTGCTGAGTAGAAACACATCCTCTCTAGGGCACTCAAAAATCAGTCTCAAATTGATTTCGATTTCCACTCACCGCCACACATTTGCGTTCATCATTTTCTTCAATCATCTTCTCATCAACCCATTTTGTGAAATTGTTTATCAATCCGTGACTCCAAGTCAATTTCAACGATTTCTGCAAGAATCTGGTAATAAAGAAGTGAAGGAATTGACAAAAAGCAATCGGTGAGGTGAGGGGACCGAACCCTCGACCCCCTTGCCCGACCTCGACCTACCGGCTAGTCGCCCTAACCACTGAGCCATTCGGCACCTCGACCGACGAGAGAAGAAAGGAAAGACAAGGGGGAAAGAAGTGTAAAACATTCAGAACTCACTCTTTTCTTTGCTCCAAGTAGTGTCTGCGTCGAAAACGATTCGCTAAGGATTCCCGATTTTGTCAGCTCTGCAATCATTGAAAATCATTATTTGCAATTCCTTTTTTTAACCCAAAACCAGCGCGTTTTTCTCCTCATTTTCCACGGTCACCAAATGGGAACTCATCGATTTGCACAAATCGTTCGCCATCTCATAGTTCACATTGTGAATCGGCTGAAAGAATGATTGATTTGTTTTCAAATTACGCAAAGAAACAGTTTACATTTAACTTTTATTCGATTTTAAAGCTTTAAGCTTTAAAATGATTTTAATAGATTTTAATAGATTTTAAAGTTTTAAGCTTTAAAATCTTTAAAAGCTTGAAGCTTTCAAAGCTTTAAAACCTTTCAAAACCCTCTCACCTTAAAGCAAGCTGCTAATTCCTCGACAAAAATCCATCGTGATGGACATTTGCTAAAAAATTGAAATGAAAATTTTCCAAAAAACCTATTAAGAAGTTTTATAAAGAATTCTATAAAGAATTACTTAAATTTTCACCTTACAATTTTCGGCAATGGCAGAATAGGTAACGGCTTTTCAAGACAAGTTTTCCTGAAAAAGAGTTAAGTTCCTCTGGACTAGGGGAGATCGATTGCGTTGTGGTGTAATGGTTAGCACAGCTGTCTGGTAAGCGACGGGTCACGGGTTCGAGTCCCGAAGGCGCGCAAGTTTTTGATCTGTCCTAGTTCTGTCCAACTGACGAAAGGATGGGCTTTGCAATGCTGGCTTAGGTCTTCATATCTAGTTTCGAGGCCTATAAATCAAGACGTGTGGAACCGTCTCATCCAGAGAGGACGGAACTTAACGGCCCCTGGAGGAAGGGACGTCGATTACACTGTGGTGTAATGGTTAGCGCAGTTTACCCGGTAAGCGGGAGCTCGCGGGTTCGAGTCCCGGCAGCGCAAAATTTTTTGATCTCCCCTACTTCCAGCTAAACAAACAATTCCAAACTTATCACAATTAATTGTTTATTTATTATTAATTCTATAATCTATTCATTTTCTCCAAAAACCCTTTAAAAACTAACAATCGATTGGCGCAAACCCATAAATCTTTCGATAAGACTCGTTCTCGAGGACATTCACTAAAAATTGATAAATAAGTTTTCTTTAGATTCTTTAGATTAAATAATTATTTATTTTCAATTTTCACATTTTTAGAAGAATATTAGAACAAGATTGGGGAGTGGGACAAATGCGACCTTTTTTTGCGCACCCGGACATTTGCGCAGCTTTTTTTCCGCACCTTGCCCATTAGCGCACCTTTTTTCGCGTTTTAAAAAAGCTCTAAAAAGCTAATATTAACCAATTTCTATTCCAAATGTTGTTTTTCTAGGTAATTTTAGGGCGTCGAATTCGAAATTTTGACATAACAGAGCGTGTGGAACCAATTTGAAAGACAAAACGGCTAGATCAAATTACAGAAAATTGTCGATCTTTCTCTTTGTATAACTCCGTCCGTTCGTTTCCACAAGCTCTGATATGTCAAAATTTCGATTCTACGCCCTAAAATTACCTAGAAAAACAACTTTTGGAATCGAAATTGGTTAATATTAGCTTTTAGAGCTTTTTTAAAACGCGAAAAAAGGTGCGCTAATGGGCAAGGTGCGGAAAAAAAGGTGTGCAAATGTCCGGGTGCGCAAAAAAAAGGTAGCATTTGTCCCACTCCCCAATATTGAACATTAGAATAACAATATTTAAGCAATCAAGATTCCTCAAGCAAACCTCTCCGAATTTTGCATGAAAAAAGCGCTCAGCCCGGTGACTCCGATTAGAAAAGCGATGAAAACGGCGAAAAATATCAACAATGTTGACAATTTTAAGCAATTTCCTTTCCCTTTTACTCTAAATTACAAAAAGATTATAAGAAAATTCAATTTTTTCAGTAAACTTTTCTGTTTTAAGAAGATTTAGATCCGAGCTTTCGTCCATCTGAAAATTTTCGAATTATTAGGCAAAGTTGAGCAGCAAACACAGTCAAAAAGATGAAATTTTCGAGAAAATCTTACTAAATTAGCATAAATTTGACTTTATTGACTTTTATTTTCATATTTTCTTTAAAAAAACTTTTCCAAATCGTTTATCAAAGGAAAAAACTCTTTTTTTTTTTGTTTTTCAATGAAATTTGATCATCAATCTTGCTTTTTATAAACAATTAAATTCCCTATTTGATAAACATTTCCCATAAAACTTCAACAATATCTCATATTTCTAAAAATGATCTTAAAAGTATCGATTTTAAGTCTCTTATTCACAAAACTAAGTCTCATAAATGGCTTGGAAAATGGATTGGCAAGGTAAAAGAAAGAAAACTAGAGAAAAATGAGATTTAGATGAATTTAAACAACGAATTAGCTTTATATTATCATTATTTTAGAGATTTTAGAGATTTTTCATTATTTTGAACTATTTTGAACTATTTTGAATAAAAAAAACAAAGTGTGAACTTGAGTAGTTCTTTTTCTTGAGTAGATCTCTCTCAACCAAACACTCAAACAAACGTTTGACCTCTAGTCAACTGTAATTTGATAACATTTTCACAGAA